ACATTGTCTTCACGATGAAATAGAAATTATTTATGATGCAAGTTTGCGTCGTGAGACATTGTCTTCACGATGAAATGGAAATTATTTATGATGCAAGTTTGAGTCGTGAGACATTGTCTTCACGATGAAATGGAAATTATTTATGATGCAAGTTTGCGTCGTGAGACATTGTCTTCACGATGAAATAGAAATTATTTATGATGCAAGTTTGCGTCGTGAGACATTGTCTTCACGATGAAATGGAAATTATTTATGATGCAAGTTTGCGTCGTGAGACATTGTCTTCACGATGAAATGGAAATTATTTATGATGCAAGTTTGCGTCGTGAGACATTGTCTTCACGATGAAATGGAAATTATTTATGATGCAAGTTTGCGTCGTGAGACATTGTCTTCACGATGAAATGGAAATTATTTATGATGCTAGTTTGCGTCGTGAGACATTGTCTTCACGATGAAATGGAAATTATTTATGATGCAAGTTTGCGTCGTGAGACATTGTCTTCACGATGAAATGGAAATTATTTATGATGCTAGTTTGCGTCGTGAGACATTGTCTTCACGATGAAATCGACTGAGTGAAATTTTTTAATTTTAGCAAACCATCCACACTACCAATTATTCATTTTTCCATTGCCAAGTTTACAAATCCTTTAGTATTTACTGCCAGTTGTAGATTCGATAAAAACAGAATGTTTTGAAATACTTTTTGTAAGGGCTCTTATAGTGATTTCTATTTTATTTTTTCCTATCACAAGTTTCCAATTATTGTGATGACGACTAAGAGCTTTTGTTTTGTGAATTAGTTTAGCCTTCTCTCCATTTATTTCAAATTAACAGCCTTGGCTGTTAAAATCTGGGAAGAAAAACACGTGACCTAAGTCTCTAATATGTATTGAATATTTATATATAGTCAATGGTGCGATATATTTATAGTCTTTGTTATTGCGAATTGTGAAGTTGAGATTCAGTGTTTATTTGTTGCTTTGAATTGTATTCAGGGCTACAAGATTTCGACAATGACTTCAAGAAAGCATTGCTACAATGGATTAAAACATGCAAAACAACATATGATATTATTTTTCATTTTATTCGGCGTACTTTCTGGATTTTTACTTGGTGCTTTATTTTATGGCAATGTTCAGTCGTCCATAGATCCAACACCGAAGGAATATGCAATGTACGTGTCTTTTCTTGGTGAGATTTGGGTGAGAGCATTAAGACTTTCGGTTCTTCCTTTGATTGTATCCAGCCTGCTTTTGGCAGTCGCTGAATTGGAGTCAAAACAGAGCGGAAAATTGGGAAGAAGAACATTGCTGTATTGTCTTATGACTACAATGTTTGGGGAGTAATTTGTTTATTTGCATTTAACCTGGAAATGTTAACGTGAAAGAACCAGAACCAAACGAAGAAAAAGTTGAACCAATACCTTCTGTGCTTGACGTAATAAGGTTTGTGCAAATATTGATAAATTTACTGAGTTTGCGCCCAGCTTTCGCGTTCACTGCAAAAATCTTCTTATACGTATAAGTTATATTTCTATCAGTTAACGACAATGCTTTTTATTTTTTTTAAAGGCAACTTTATTTATTATAACGTAAATGTTACGTTGGCAAAACTGTGCAAGTGTACGAGATTTTCGAGCGCATACAGAAGTCGCGTTATCGCAATATTCACTAGATTCTTAATCTTCTATTTGTGACAAACTTCCTTAAGTCCAAGAGGTGGCTATGACTTTTTATACATTATTATATTCATATTTGACACTTTTTTACTATGCCATACGAAGCACAACTACCAAAGTGATAAACGCCACAAGATCGTAATGCTATGTTATAGAATACCCGTCCACTCACTATCTACTTATATAATATGCCTTGTTCTTTATACTTTGTTCTTTATTTTGACCATTAAATGATACTAAATGATACTTGATAAATAATAATTGAGAACTAAACGATATTTTAGTTTAACTTAAGCCTGTAAGGGTGCCTTTAAAAATGGACGGGTATTTTATAATCGCTCCGAGATCTTAAATGGATAAGTTAATCTGAAACAAAACCTTTACAACAATGACATTGAAATATAAAAATTGCAATAAACCTTCCACACTCTACTCATCACACACTCAATTTCACATCTCTTTGAGACAGTGAGTGGAAGGTTTATTGAAATTTTTGAATTTCAAAGTCATTGTTCTAAAGGCTGTTCTGTTCTGTTCTGGTGCCATGCATGATGCATGCTTGGGCTACCATGTCTCTCCAACGTTGACGGTTACGAGCACAGGCAAAGATTTCTGCAGTGTTGGCGATTCCGGTAACTTTCTTAACTCTGTCCAAATACGTTATGCGTTGACGGCCTCGTGCTCTTTTCCCTTCGATTTTTCCTTGCAGCGCAACACATTCCAGGCCTTCCTTCCGAACTACGTGGCCAAGAAAACGAAGTTGTCTCTCGATTATTACGGAGAGTAGTTCTCTCTTCACACCGGCTCTTCTCATAACCTCTTCATTTGAGACGTGATCAATAAATGACACTTTCAACATCCTTCTCAAAAACCACATTTCTGCTGCTTCTATGTTTTAGAATAACTTATCCATTTCAAATCGTTTTATTTCACAACTTTTAACCTTTTAATAACAAAATCATTGTTAAGTGATTATTGCTGTCATTAGATTGTTTCATTGCTAAACAGTTGATCTCTAAACAAGTTAATTATGACGGCCAATTTTTATAACATTGACCGCAAGACGTAAAATTGGCCGTTTGACTGTAAATCATGATTTTAATCTTCCTTGCCGTAATATTTCGCATTTTAGGCTCTTGTCCACTGCTCACTGCGAAATTTAACTGTGAAGTGTTAAGTAAAGAAAAGGTTGATGAATGCTATGTAGCTGATCTTCAAAGTACGTAAAATGTCTTATGAGATATTTTTGCCTATAGAAAATTTTACTATGTTAAATTTTAGCGACGAAGTTCACTTTACATATCTGTGAATATCAACCATATTTATAGCACACTAACTTGTAAGAACGTATTCTTTGGAGACAATGATTATCTCGTTATTATTATCCCTGGAAAACACGTTTTATTGAGCTGGTGGCTCATGACTTGTGTATTCTAATTTCTAAAGCAAAGTTCAATATTTATAATTTCTTCACAAACACGACACGAAACGGACATTACACGCGACAATAGAAAACTGCATAGTCAATTTAGTCAAGTAGGACTTTTGCTTACCCAGGGCAGGCTACACTGAAGATTTTTTTGTGACAGAGTTTTCTGTAATTTTCCTCTAAAACAATTATATTGTTTCTTCATTCATATGATGGGTATGTTAAGGGACTTCCCCTTGCAGAGGAAGCATATCGGATGAAGTGACTGTTGCATTATGGGTATTTTGCATGGGTGAAAAAAAAGAAAAAAAGAAAAAAGTTTCCTAAATACACCATGCTGCGTCTTGTTCCGTTATAAAGTAAACAAACATATCTTGTTCCGTTGTTGTTCAACATTGTGGAATGGCAGTCATCGTGGTTGTTGCATTGCACTGGTGTGTCATGTAGCTGTGGCAGAATGAATGATTTAAGTTCTTAAAGTTGGTCAACTGTATTTACATTCGATTTTATACAAAGTAAGGAAAGGAGCGAAAACGGTGAAAAAATCCAGAGCTAACTCTAATCAAATACGGACGAGAAAAAAGATATAGAAAAAAATCGCTAGAGCTTGAAGAAGGTACATCAAGACGAAAAAAATAATTCCCGTTCACAAAAACGTTCCAGAGAGTGTTGCAGAGGATCAAGGAATGGAACCTGGAGCAGAACGTCAGACTGAATATTTAATATTTTTACTCGTACTTTTATATTGGGAACTTCTTATTGAATTGTATGATTTAAATTTTCCTTCAATTCCTGATGAACTATAAATATCTATAATTTGTACAAGTGTGCCGTGAACATAATGATAATTGAAATATTAACTAATTAGAACAAATGTACTTTTCGATGTCGTATTTTCTATTTTTAAAACGCCCACTTATCTATTTGATTACCTCAGAGCCCTCTATTTTTAAGAGTTGGGACATCTATTGTTATCCGTTTTATTGGGCAATATTGATCACCTGATCAATTTCCGCTATTTTGGTTCCTAGTTTTGAAATTTGAGCTTGTGTTTATATAGCAATTGCTGCTAGTAATACAGTATTTTGAGATAATATTGCGTTTTTTTATGAATAAGTTTGTAATAACTGATTGTTGACGGCTACTAAATGTCATTAAATATCGCCAGAATCGAGGATTACGAAAAAAATGAAAGAAATGCCTTTACGTCGAACTTACAAAATTTGATTGCGTATGGTGATTGTTGTGCTGAACTGCTTTTGATATAAGGTTCAATTAACTGACTCAAGTAGAGAATTCTACTTCGAGTAGTGAGTATTTTTGGTAATGAATTCTACGAATGTACCCTACTTCTGTAGCTCAGAGTAGAACATTACTTCTTTTCTAGACTTGTCAATTATATTTTAATTGTAGGTTTTGGTTTATAAGATCACAGAGGCATATCTCCATAATTTCAGCTGTTTGGGCTTTTTAATGTATATTACAAATGTTGCTGCCTTTCTCATATATATTAAAATATTGCTGGCTTTCTGATATATATTTGGGTGCTGCTAGCTTTTGATCTTTATATTTCACTGTCAATACAAGGCATAGAATTTGAACAAATGGGCTGAGCCCCCTCCAACACACCCCTGTATGATCAATAAACACATACAGACGTTGTGTCATTCCTCAACCCATATATTTAACTCTTTGCTAAATTAAAGATTGGATCAGACTCATATGCTGTATAAAAGACTACAAACAGTAGCATTTATAGCAAACAGACTGTTCTTCAACAACAGAAATGTTTCATATTATTATGGAGTTCATTGGGATAACCTGGGTTCGGAAAACCGATTACGTCACTGAATACGTCACAAACCATTTTTACGACAGACATCGAATAATAATCGGCGAATACCGATAGTTTCCACCGGATGTTTCCGACAATCGGTAAAGTCAGTCATGTAAACTCAAACTGTAAACTTGTTCGTCTGTATTTAAAGTATTACCGTTTGAGGTTCTTGAAAAGTTTTCAATGAAAAATGCAACTGATTAAACAATCTGCGTTATATCTTTGTACATATTTTGTGCCATCATCAACATAACGAATTGCTTGTATTTCTGTTTCAAAATCTAACGACGTTTAATATTATGACTTCATTTAGGTAAGTTCTATTGCACTGAAATCATTGATCATCGTTAGACTTTATAAAAAGATCTTTACTCCTTTTGAATTTTAAAACTGCTTTATATTTATGCCAAAAGTTTGCTGAGATTTTGTTTACGATTGTAACATGTGACAGCTAGGGTTATGTGTTTATTAGCATAATTATCAGTCAGCCAAGCTTTTTTGAAACCATTATGAATCAACATTAACATCATCTGACGTCGTACATGAACTGTTCTTAACCAATAGAGCTATACCTCATATTCATCATGTCATTTTAACTTTTAAATATGTTTATGTCAAGATTTCAATAGTAGAATGATTATTATATATACTACTGAACATTGTGTACAACAAGACAACTGTCAATAAATGAGTTGTCAAGAAAAATGAACCTTAAGAACCAAGAATAGCATGAAACTTTGTTTTACACCACTGTATATGACAGATCATTCTCATTGAAATGCATCAAATTGCAATATTGCTACATAAACACAATGAGGATGAACATTTTGATGTTCACAAAAACAAGATTTAATTATTTATAAATGTTCCAAATGTGCACAGCAATGTAATTATATCTTACAATAGCTGTGCCAGGCCTAAATACCATACAATGATAAATAATCTTTTGAAAATTTCACTGTTTGATTGTAAACTGTTTTCTTTAAGATAAATCCCATTTCACCACCTTCCTATCTTGCCACGACAACAACAATGAATCGAGAAGAAGGTTTGAAAGCTTTGGAAATATCTATCAAAGCCATTGAAGAAGTCATTATGAACAAGAAAGGAACATATGTTTTACAACAAGCTGTAAGTGTTTGGTTTATATTTCTATGAAAAGTATATTGTATCACTAAAATGACATCCTCCTGGTGCCTCTACTATCCTCATATCATCCTGTTACCATTTCCCTAAGTACCCCATGCTGTATTAAGAGGGACATATTCAATCATTAGTCGTTTATATGAAAATTACAATGACATCATCCCAATGCATTGAAATCAATAATATTAGGACCCTGTGACATTGGCAATAATTTATGTTAACTGTCCACAAAAATTAGTTTTTCCTAAAGCTAATTATGCATTGTGATATCATAACAATGTCTTTTACATATTGAAGAAAAGTTATGTGTCTCCAAAACAAAATAAAATAACTAAACATGTTCACATCATTTACACAATGACTGTCTCATGTTTGCTTTCTCTGACTGTGTAACTATTATCAGAAGGACATCACTTGAGTCCATTGGACATTTTGTACACTTGTATGATGTATCAAAGATTTGAAATCATACAACTGACGTATGTTTAATGAGCTGCTGTTTTTTGCAGCTTCAGAGGAAAGAATAAAACAAGCAGAGTTTGTCATGTTCTTATTCAAGTAGTACTTTATGTTTAACTTAGGAGCTAAACATGTTTCATACAAAATGTTTTATGGTTTTTGATTGGTTATATGAAATGCTCTTTAATATGTATTAAATATAATTGGACAACTGTTTTTCTATTATGTCTGTTGATATAAAATTATCAGTTTTAACAGAAGTAGGCCTTCATAGAGATCAGAAATGTAAAAATCTTAAAATGATTTGAACTTATTCAGGAAAGAGGTCATTAGTATATTTTTATTATCCTAACTAACATTTTTATTTGACTTGATGGGATACTCTAGGGATCACGGCAAATCTTTGCCTCGTGGATCAATGGTAATTATCGGAATTAGCGGGAAAAACTACGTCAGAGGTCTGGTACCGACACAGAGACGCGATTTTTGTCATTTCTTTCTGGATAGTACGCCGTGCATCGAAGCTCCTCAGTTCGTAGATATATAAAAATTGCCAAATACCAGCTGTTATCCTTCTGTTAAAGTAAGTAAGCATTCTTTGTTAACGTTAGAATGGAGTTTTGTAAATTTTGATGAATTCAGACTGCAATATTCGTCATCGTTTCCACATTGAATGCGAAACTAATAAAAAAGGTATTTGTAATTGCAACTATGTTCAACGCATTTGGGTATAATTGTGACAATTTTTATCGTACAAAGAAAATTGTGCTAGGCTGTCGTCAATTTAGCTTTTAATATCTATTCTTTTGAACGGTTTCATGCGCCGTGTCGAAACAGACGAACAAACATGCACTTCCTTGAAAATTCAAATATGGCGCCTTTTAATGGCGGCTCTTAAAGTACACGTTTTATCGCTACGTAACTCGAGCAGCATTAAATATATTGCGATAAAATTTCACAAGAAGACATTTTTTTAGATACACTATTAATCTATGAAAAAAAAACGAGAGGCAAAATTTTCGTCATAGTAGCACATCGAAACATGTTTTATAATATTTAAGTCACGCTTTAGTGACAATCGTGTGATAAGTTTTGAAGTATGTATTGGCTCTTTTGCCTTCATTGTAACAAATCTATTGCGCACAAAGGCATATAAAGTTCCCCTGAATGCAAATAATTTGGTGTAAAATTATCGTGTTGAAACTTTTAAAGTCATTATTATGGATCAAAAATTACTTTGTAGCTTGTTTTTCTGAATTTTTTGAAAACAATTAATTCTTCTTTGGTATTTGATTCTAAATGATGTAGCCAAATAGCACAAGTGTTCATCACTTCTGTTAAAACTCAGAAATAGCTTTTAAGTCGATGATCTAGTGTCTGGTGTACAGTCCAAGAAGAAACCAATGAGGTTGTATGAGTCAGCAAGTGAACGATTGGCTGCGGAAGGATTTAGGCTTAGGAAGTGGCTAAGTAGCGATGAGAATGTTTTGAAAGAAATAGAAGCGAGAGAAAGAAGCATTTTAGAGAAAAGAAGGGCAGAATTTAGTAATTCGAAAGTGGTTGATGAGCAAACTTATGCCAAAGCATCAGTTGGGGAAAATAGTATCAGTGGAAGTTTTGAGAAAGTACTAGGATTGGGATGGGAGTGTAAGTCGGATCGCTTTGTATTTATCCTCTGGAAATTGGCTGAAAGAGCAAAGGCATTCATTCCAAGTAAACGAAATCTACTAAGTATACTTGCAGGATTATTCGATCCCTTAGTTATTATAAGTCCAGTTGTAGTTTGTGCTAAGTTATTGTTTCAGGAGCTGTGTATTGAGAAAGCTGAATGGGATAATGAGCTGGAAGGTGAAGAAGAAAAAACGTTGGAAGAGGTGGATAGAAGATTTAGAGAGAGTGAAGCGTAGGTTTAGGTATTTAGCTATTTAGCAAGATTGAGAAAGCATTTTTTGTCCAGGTGGAGGAAGGAATACTTAACAAGTTTAAGGGAGTGTCATAAGGTTGGCAAAGTAAAGGCTAGTTTGTGTCCGAAAGTGTGTTTGAGGAAAGTTTGAAAAGAGGATTTTGGAAAATAGCGAGAATCAAGAGATTGATCAAGGGAAAAGATAATATAGTCAGAGGAATGGAAGTCAAAGTTGTTAGCAAGGTAAGGCCACTGCACATAAGCAGGCCTCTTCAGAAACTGTATCCACTAGAGATGGATGCAAAGGTAAGTAAAGACAGTTGTGTAGAAATAGAGAAACAAGAAAGTAGTGAGAGAGGAAAAGTTTCAAAAAAGGGTTGCAGTGTAGAAAGTCATAGGAGACCCAGAAGGGCGGCAGCTGTAGATGCATGTTGGTGAACAAAAGTTTTGTTTGACCCTAATGGCTCAAAGGGGGGAGTGTGTGTCGGAACTTGTGTAAATAAGTAATAGATAATTGTTATTTGATACTAGGAACTTCTGGAAGAACGGAGATAGGAACTTATGTTAATACTTTATCAGTTGTGACATGTTGAAAGTCAGGTTTTTCTGTCGCTGGCTGTGAATGTAAAAGCTTGAATTGTTTAAGGTTATCTGTGATGTAGAATAGTTATATTGAGTAAAATTGAGAATTGTGTGTCGACTGCGCGTACAGTAGGATAGTATACAGTCCCAAAAACGAATTGACAGGCGCATAACTGCTTTGTGTTAACACGCAAAAGAGAAAATTGCTAAACAAACAAATTCCTTGTCTATCTCTATGAATGAGTCCAAATGATACTGCAGTGTTGCATTCAACAAAAATGGAGAGCAGTTAACCCCAAACACTAATCTACAAAATCAATATTCTACAGGTTTCACTCTCTCATTGTTTACATCATCAACCCATAAAAATCTTAGGCAATCCCTGTCCAAAGTATCAACTTCTATATTCAAAAATCCCTTTTCATTATCTGCCACTAAAGCGTCTCTCTTCTCTCTAAACCTCATCAAAATATGAAAGAGCAATGGTGCTAATTTGGGTCCTACATGCAAGCAGTCATTGAGCGAAGAAGCCTTGGGTGACTTTTTACATGATGCAACATAAACAACTCTTACTTTAGCTGTTTTTGCTTCCCTTCGAATTACCGCATGATGTGGTAAATAATGTATTTTATCAGCTTGCTCTAGTTCTATCACTGGTTCTATAATACCCCTCAATTGATCTTTGATTGTCTTATCATACTCTTCTAAATTTTCTGATTCCCTTTTTAGCCGTACTAACTGACCCTTTAATCTTCTCAACCTTATGCTGTAATTTGTATAATCTAAACTATGTCCTTCTTTCCAAGGCAATTTCACATTGTGTCAGTTACCATTAAACACAATAGAATCCCTTAACGATTCATGAACTTCATCTTCCTCAGCTATTCCTAAAGTTTCAAAATCCCACAAACGGTTGACATTCTTATCTAAACTTAAATTCCCTGAACTTTCATGTGCATTGAAGTTTACTTGAGTGTGTATGTTATCCAAATCATTTCTCGCTTTCATGGGGCCAGACAACACCCAACCTAACTTAGTAGACAAAGCAACTGGTTCATCTACCTGTCCCCAAACAACATTGCCTTACTAAACCACCAAAAATAATCTGCTCCAATCAAAACTTTAACATCTGAAACTTCCTTATCCTTGCAAACATCTGAAAACCACAGACCCTTTAAATGTGAATAATCCATCTTTCTCAACCCTACATGTTCATTCCTAATTTGAAATATACAGTCTACACTGTATGCGTCGATGCTTACACTCTCTCCCCCTCCAACTGACAACAACTCTAATTTAAATGCCTCTCGCAACTTACCTTTAGCCTTCTCTTGACCAAGCGACTTCAATTCTATCCATTCCTTTCTACTAGCCTGAATACCTTCTCCCTGTGTAATCTTTCTATTCACAAATGACTTGTGACCCTAACACTTCCCTCATCTCCCTTGATAAAAGCCTGTGCTGTCTGTAATGCTACCCTACAATGAGATCCCAGAATAGAATTGTTGGTTTGAACATCGCCAGTAAGAATCCCATTGGCTTCACAAATTAACCTATGGTGTGCCTTCCCACATGCATTACATTTATCATTACTATTACAATTCTTACTGACATGTCCTTTCTTAAACAAATAAAACATCTTCCGTACTTACGAATGAGTTGTTTTCTCTCAGTTACATAGGTTATTTTCTTACATTCATCTGGATTGTGTTCCCCGAGACAATAAACGCATTTTCTTTTCGCTTTACCGTTCATTGACACCTCGTTTCAACTCTCGTGCTTCGCGTGCAGTGCTGATGCTGACCCCATATGTCTTTGTCGCGTTTCTCGTTGTTTCTCCCCATCCTGTCTCTTGGTTTTCTCGCCGATCGGTGTGTGAGCTTCTCGAAGCTCCAACTCTTTAAGAATTGCGTTCAACGCATCTTTCATTGACCATTCCGTAAAATCAATTCCTCTTGTTTTTGTCAATGGAAAAGCGTCCGGCAACTTCACTATGACTTCCGGTACTACGATTGAAGAATATAGGCTTCGTCCACTCCACATGGATTGTAAAGGAGTCAAATCTCTTAAAACTACGTATGGACGATATATATTTTCAGTGTTGTGTATATTTTAGTACAAACGTCAGATTGGCTGACGTAGACAAGTTTGCGTATTTATAGAGTCTTTTTCTCGAACCTGCAAGATCGACAATATCGGGATTTGCCCTAGCTTCAGCAAACTATCACGAAGCCGTAGAATTGTTGAAACGAAAATACGGGAAAAGGAACGTGATAAAGAAAGCGCATATCCAGGAGTTAATGAACATAAAACCCGTAACGGAGGAAGGAGACATCGACAAGCTTCGGCGGTTATACGACACATGCGAGACAAGCTACCGGGGGTTGAAGGCCTAGCAACTGGGACATGAGACTCCTTGACGATGTCGTTTACATCCAAAATTGCTCGCTCGAATTCTGCCCGTATCTTTTCCGCATCTTCAATTTCTTTTCCCAATTCTTCCGCATTTTCCTCATTGTTTTATTTCAGCATATCGATAATCGCGTCATCAAGGATTTTCAATGTTGCGATCTTGTCGTTCAATCCATCTCGTAGTTGCCTCAGTTCGTTTCTATCGATCTCGCCGTCTGTTTCTCGTATTTTCTTTTTTAATTTACTAGCAATTTTCCTCGCTGATCCTCTATGTCCTGCGCGCACTCGTTTCTTCCTCATAAATTCCTCCATTCTGCTATTGGACTAACAAACTTGAATTTCCAAATAGATCTCCAACTAAAATATCTCCCACTCGAAGGACGAGGTGTAGCAATTTTCTCCTTTGCACGTTAGCACAAAGCAGTTATGTATCTGCCGATTCGTTTTTGGGACTGTTTACTATCCTACTGTACGCGCAGTCGACACACAATTCTCAATTTTACTCAATATAACTATTCCACATCACAGATAACCTTAAACATTTCAAGCTTTAACATTCACTGCCAGCGACAGAAGAACCTGACTTTCAAAGTGTCACAACTAATAAAGTATTAACATAAGTTCCTATTTCCGTTCTTTCATAAGGTCCTAGTATCAAATAACAATTATCTATTACTTATTTACATAAATTCCGACAACTTCCTCTTAGCTGTGGTGCATTGGAGCATGTTACATTTGATTTAACTTTTCCGTTTGATATTTCGAAGTTTTAGCAATAGTTGAAATGTTTATCGTAAGTCACGATCAAAGTTACTCATTCGTTGGATGAAAAACTATCTCAACAAAAATTTCAAATACATGAGGCAAAGTTACGCAAAATAACGTTTCCCACAACGGAAGTTTCATGTTTGTACTAAAATATACAGAACACTAAAAATATATATCGTCCATACTTAGTTTTAAGAGATTTGACTCGGTTCCAATCCCTTTGGGCTTGGTAGCTCAACAGGTAGAGCGGCGGACTAGTATCCCGAAGGTGCGAATTCAAATCTCGTCCAAGTCACATGTTTTTCATGTGCATGTAAAAAAACCGTGTTAGGATTAATATACTAAAAATATATACTTTTCCCCTAAATTCAATGTCGTGAAACCTTTGTAAAGCGATTCCTTCATAAGCTTTGAAGGAATTTTAATGCAAATAAATAAACGTTTACAACTGTAGCCATTGTGAATGTGAACGTATCCACGTTCTCACTTTAAATATTTGAAAGGTTTCTAATTAATGATATTCATTTTTTCTATGTTATTTTTGTAAGAGTATCTATGATGTTCTTTAGAATGCCTCCTTGTTTGTCAAAATCAGTAATGAGAGACGTCTACTGCATTTATCCACAAAAGTATAATGCTGTACCACAATACAACCAAACGATCATTGCTATGCTCCAAAAAAGACCTGAGCGAAGTCCTTTCGCTAGAACTGATATGTACGATATTGTGAGCTTGCTTTACATGTCGAATGAGTTGGTTGAAAAAGAGATCATGAAAAGTGAAGGAGAAAATGCACTCTCGTATATTCTGTCTCATCTTGATGATCAATCAATGACAGTTTTACTTGGAACCTACGTTAAGCAATTTTTCAAATGTACTATATTTACGAATGACGCCTTTCCTCTTTTTCCGTACAATGAAAACTGCCTAAACGGTTGGTTTACGAAGAATGTTTCATGTTTTAATGATGCAGGGGACCAAACTAACCAAGAAGTAGAGATTTTTAATGCAAGTAACAAAGATAAAGCTAAAACATGTATCGCCGAGTTTGTAAAATCAAAGAAAAGCAAAGACAAAGATAATGAGTTATATTTCCATGGCACTGATCATTCGTCTGCTCAGAATATTCTTGAGAATGGTATTAAATTAGGTAAAGGTCGTGAAAAAGGCGACTTGTCACATAGAGATGGCTTCTACATGGCAAATGATTATGAATACTCGTTAACGCAATATTCTAAAAAACCAAAACCAGCCCTTCTCATTTTTTGTTTACGCCCAAATAATTTGAACGGTTTCCGAGAATTGTATTTATGTGATAATCGCAATGAAAAAGTCTTTGTTTCAGTTACTCAATACTTTAGGGCTGGAAGGAAAGACCGTAAAGGTTCCATGAGCAGGGACCACCTATTTTCGGATTTAGAAAGGTGCGATTATATCAAAAGTCCAATTACTAGTGATGGTCGTTCAGCAGGTGACCCAAGGGAAGATATTCTGCAGGTTTGTGTAAAGAAACACAAAATGGCTGAGGCAATGAGTTGTTCCCCATTTTTGGTGGGTGCAGTCTTTATAAAGCCTGATTCGTAGCAAATTGGCTGTAAGGGACGCAAGAAAACAACAAAGTGAAATGAGTTCAGTAACAAACAGGTTGAAATTGCATGGAGTTGTGTTCTCCATGAAAACAATCGTATCACACTTTATAACGTAACTCGTAGGACATATTGATTTTGTATGTAGTCACTATTTACCATTGCAAAAACTGAATTGTAAAAATATTGATGTAAACAAATTTTAAACAATTATTGGATGACGTTGAGCGTGATGTCAAGAAATAAAGTTCAACGTATACAAACTGGGGCCTAGCACCACGAGATATTTTCCGAAGAGTCGTCATGCAAACGTGTTTATCAAAATAATCAAAATGTTATGTAGATTTTCCCGACATTAATTCAATTTGTATAGGTGAATGAGTGAGTTTTTCGAGATTACAGAAATTTTTTATTTATTCATGAAAAATTTTCTCTATTTTGTTGATTTTAACTTCAGCGCACGGACTTTTCAACAGGCAAGTTATTAATACGAAGCTTTAGCAGAACCTACGAGTACGACTACGAGTACGATTTACGTCATTTTGGCGCGAAAACATTTTTGCGACAACAAAAACACGTAGCCGTTATCAATCTGAGTACGATGTTTTGTAAAAAATTCGTAGTCGCGACTAAGATGTCTTTTTAAGCAAAGAAAGTAGGTATATTTCTTCATTCTGTAAGGAATTAGCTTACTGTAATATTTTCGAGCATCCAGGCTTTACTTTAGAACCTTTTTTGAGCGCATATGTATTATTTAAAAGGAAATATGACCTTGATAACTTTCATGTATTTCGTACGCAGAATGAATGGTAAACAAACAATAAAATAGTATAAATATATCGTACATAAAACTTAAAATAGTGAAGATTTTTCACTCTAAAGAGGCCTATGTTCTCGCAAAACCAGTATTATCGATTCTTTAATATCATTATTGACAAATAGAGCCGTAGCTGCTTCGCAAACGTCGGTGTTTTACACAATAAAAAGGCTCGTTCTGTTGTTTACAACTGAAGCAAAATTTTGACAAAGCGATAACGACAACAACCTTCCTCGTGCCATTCCCTTACAAGGTCAAACTTCGTACTCGTTCTCGTAGTCGTACTCTTGCTAAAGCTCCCTAATATCGACCGGCTCGTATTTTTCGATTTCGTCTGGTAATGTTTTCACAACACTAAAGTAGACTCGCTAAAGTCTATATTTCAAAAATCTTAATTACACCAACCGAATGATTTACTACCATTGAGTACCTATATCTACCAGCTAAATTGAAACGCAACTCTTTTCCTCGACATTTTTTAGACAAAATTATCAAAACGTAAAGCAGAAAACACCCAATTAAATCGCCAGACAACAACATACAGGAACTTTCCTACAACGATACTAACACTACACGATATTCAAACTTCCATAAATAGCGTATTTTTCTAAAGTCACCAAAAAGCGATTAACAACACTTATCAAACGATACTGCGTACCTTTTGAAATTAAATTAATCTTTGTGCCTTTTTGGTTTAAAAGATTCGATTTCTTTCAATCTTAAATCTGGGGTAGTAAATTGTTACATTATTATCATTTACATGTTTGGAAATTACCATACTAATAAATTACCCAATAGTAATTTTGAAGCAGTGAACTCCATATATATACAATACATTTTATAGATATAAAATTGAAGCCTAAGTCCTAGTCTCTTGCGCAGCTTGTACGTCAGTATCATTCCCCTGAGTGCCAAACATACACGGCCAATATATATTTGAATACAAATTGCGAAAGCATACACATATAAACAACATCACGACAAGCAACACACGAGGCCAACTCTTCGCAAAAGGTTATTTTTTACAGTCGAAACTTTACTACAGTGAGTTCGTTGTAATTTACAACTTGTAACGAGGAAAAGCCAACTGAAAATTGCACTGTTTGCTAAAAAGACAATACAATAGAAAATATGACGAGAAAATATTCAAGCATAAATTTTTCTTTCGTCGGAAGGTAAATTTTCAAACGGTGTCAGACAGTGTTTGTCTCTTTTTGTCCTTTCAATGGATTTAAAGATTTGTTTTTCCGAAGAAAAAGGAAACTTGAATATCCAGTTTCATAAAAAATATTGAGTCTATAACTGGCATTTTTACTTTTTAAAGAGCGATTGTCATTTTCATCGATTTTGATAGTGCTGAAATACTAAATGGTTGTCATCTCAAAATCAATAATTGAATATCCTTAAAGACTTTCATATGTTTTAAAGGAAAACCGCAGCTTAAGAGCAGATTGACTGTGTATGACAAAAATATATAGTAGCTATATTAAAGATGTTTTCATTCTATATGTAAATTTTGTCGAATAAAAATTCATACCAACAAATCCTTTTAGTCTATTTGAAAAACGTAATAATAATTTTGCACTGAGGATGATGTAGAATTGAAATAAATATAGTTAAAAGATTTTCTTCATAAAGATAAAACTGACTAGTAAAATGAGTCAACTGAGGTCAAACTAAAGATCTAGGATATGAAAAAATACAAATTGTTTATAAACATGCGAGAAACACGAGTGATGACAAATGATGACGACAAATATTTTTTTGGATTCAGTTATCATTCCAGTTATTTAAACATTGAGTTCACTGTTCTGCAGCGACTTAGTCAGGTGACCAAACAAACGCTTCAAACCCACAACTCCTCGCGGATCAATATGACAACATCGTTTTTCCGTGTTAATTTTGTTTGTTAATTTCTTGGTTATAAAAGTAGCAATTTTGGACTTATCGGACGAGTATTGAACTAATTGATGGTGAATAATGGGGACAATTTCTTGTTTTTCATGCTACGTTACGTAAGTGAGCTTAAATGTATTTCTTAATTGTCATCAATCTTTGCCAATGTTCGTCGTTACGTTGGCACCTAAAATCGAAACCAGCGTTTTTGTCTTGTTGTTATATTTTGATTCTATTTTATATTATGTCTGTAAGCTGTTAAACGTTTAGTTTCTCAAAAAGTCGTGCTAATTTGCGAAAAGGGTTGTTAGTGAACTCAACATTTTTGAAATACCAAGAATGTTGTATACTTTTGCTGTTCGTGGCCTAACTTCCGTGAAGAGAAAATTTTTTATCGTAAAATTACGGTGGCCCATAAGGGACACGACCAGTTTCTCCGTAGAAATCGAGCTTCTCCGTAGAAATCGAGCTTCTCCGTAGAAATCGTGGCCCATAAGGGACACGAGCAGTTTCTCCGTAGAAATCGACCTTCTCCGTAGAAATCGAGCTTCTCCGTAGAAATAGACCTTCTCCGTAGAAATAAACCTTCTCCGTAGAAATAACTACCGTGAAATTGGCACCACAATCAACACAACATTCATCACGACATTCATCACCACATTCAACTAAAATTTATCATTCAAAATGATAAATCGAAAAATCGTCTTTAAAACACGTTTTCCAACAAATACAACAGTAAAAAACAATTCTTAACTGTTTATTACTATTTTACTGTCCTTAACCATCACAAAAAATGTATAAAAGTCAAGAAATTGAAGAAAACACTAAGATTTATATTACAGTGTACTTTCCATTTCTCTTAAATAGCCTATAATTTAAAAACTACACGGTAGAATTTTTTTAAACTTGGCCAGAATATAGATAATTATATTGTCTAAAATATATCGAAAACCTGGAGAGTGCACAAAAAATAAGTTGTAGAAAATCATCGACAGAGTTACGTGACAAGAATGCGCGTAATATGATCTTATATAATTAAGTTAAGAATTTCAAGTCATTGCTAAACAAGGGCCTGTAAATAAAAAACTACACTGTAGAATTTTTTTAAACTTTGCCATATTGTAAATATTCTTATTGTATATAACATATCCAAAATCTGGAGAGTGCACAAAAATATAAAAGGAATAATATTCCTTGAGAATGTACTCTGGTATAAACCTTGAAGTTGGCACCACATTCAACAAACAGCTCTAAAGCTAAAAAAATACACCGTAGAATTTTTTTAAACTCAACTATATTATAGAATTTTATATTGTCTAAAATATACCCAAAATTTGGAAAGTGCACAAAATTATAAATGATAGAAAAATATCGACAAATTTGGATGACTCAAATGCGCGTAGTATAATATAATTCTCGACTTAATTATATAAGATCATATTCGTGTGATAAAAATTAATGCCCAACATAAAGTTCTGATTAGAGCCATGGAAATAGACAAAAAAAAACAAATTGTAAAATTAAATTTATTGTGACGTTTCGTCTTTACTCAAGACATCTTCAGACAAATAATAAATAGGATGTTAAGACAAGATATTATATTTACAAAAAGGTGTTAAATTACTACTAAAGGAAGCGGTGTCGAATGGATACATGATAAGGAAGTTAGGAAGTAAAATAAAGAGAAATTGAAAGAGGTTAAGTGGAATGGAGTTTCCTTGCACATTAAGTGAAGGCTTGTATTTATTGATTAGAAGGCTTTCATGAATGGAGAGTTCATAAGTATCGTTGGAAGAGGAGATTATTTTAAAGTCGTCTAAGTTGGGGGTGTGTCCAGTTGCGTTAATGTGAGCAAGAATGCTTGATGATGCAGGGTGGGAAACTTGGTTGCCTGTAAGGGGGGATATTCCCAAGTGCTCCGAAAATCTGGTGTGTAGATGACGTGTGGTTTGACCCACATACGAGGCGTTGCAGCTTCGACACTTGAATAAATAGACTACACCAGATCTCAGAGGTTTGGGAATTTTGTCCTTAAAGGGGAAGAAAGAAGAGATAAGTTGGGAAGGGCGTAAAACAAATTTAAGAGATATATGTGGGAAGGCTACAGCACAAAAGCTATTGATTTGTGTGCGAATTTAAAGGGAGTGCATGACGGTGAAAGGAAGACAAAAATAGATGGGCATTTTGTGAGCAGACAAGATAGGTGGTTTAGGGGCAACGGTGTTGTTAAGGGACGTGTGATTTGGTCAATTATACGTGAAAGAAAACCGATTTTGATGAGTGACTTTTTGGTAAATTCGAGTTGTGTGTGAAAATTTTTGTAAGTAGAACAAAGGTTGAAGATGCGGTGAAGTAAGCAGGTGACTAGTGAAAGTTTGTAAGTACGTGGGATGAAGTTGTGGAAGTTAGTGAAGAGGCCAGTGAAAATAGGTTTACGGTAGACGGAAGTGGTGAATTTTCTATTTGTGTGAGAGATGTCAATGTCAAGAAATAATAGTTTTTTGTTTTGTTCGATTTCAGCTGTGAATGTGATGTTAGGGTGTTGTCGGTTCAGATAGTCAGAAAAAGAGGGACGTGATCGGAGGAATGAAAAGTAAAAACAGTAGTCAACGTAGCGTCGGTAAAGTAGTGGTTTGAATGAAGAAGGACATTGACTCAGCCAGGATTTTTCGTGAAAGGACATGAATATATCAGCAAAGAGAGGGCCCAATGGACTGCCCATAGCCACACGATCAATTTTCTGGTACATTTTCCCGTTAAAGATAAAGTGACAGTTCTTAACAGCTAGAGAGAGTAGTTTTTCAAATTCTGTTGCAGTGAGTCCGTTGAAGTACTGGTGGTTGTTAAAAATTCTTTTGGATATTATGTGGATGGTTTCGTCAACAGGTATGTTAGTAAATAGGGATACGACATCAAACCTAGCAAGGACAACATTACTGGAGTTGATATAGCAGTTTAGGATTTCTTCAACAAACGAGAAAGAGTCTTTGATGATGAGGTTGCTTATAGTGAAGGGTTTTAGGAGTGGGATGAAAAACTTTGCTTGTTTATACGAATAGTGATTAATGGAAGAAAGAATGGGTCTGAGAGGGATGTTACATTTATGTATTTTAGGAAGGCCATACAATATACCTATTCGTGAACCAGTAGGGTAAAGTTCTTTGTAAGTTTCTTGGCCGATAGATTTGGCATCTTTCAACTTTTTTAATAAAGACTTCACTTGATTTTCTCGTTGTAAAGTGACTTTGACTGGTTCTCCATTAAGAGGTTGAAACTCTCTAGTGTCAGATAAGAGTGTGTCCATTTTCTTTGTGTAGTCGTCTTTGTTAAGTATTACGATGCCATTTCCTTTGTCATGTTTAGTGATGAGGATAGTTCTGTCGTTTTTTAAATTATTTAAAATGTTCAAGGCTTCTTGTGAATATAGAAAAGGTGGTGGGCTGTAACTTCGGAAACCTGAGTGGGCAATGTCTTTTAATTTGCATTTGATCGAGTCTGGAAAAAATCCTGATGATTCATTAACAGGTTCTCGTTTGAGACGGTTGTAGAGTTTTTCAAAGGGTGTTAAGAAGGTGCAAATGTTTAACTTTTTCGGTGGGATGGAAAAGTTTAAGCCGTTTGAAAGGATTTTCTCTCTGTCAGTAATTTTTATTTTACTTCCTAACTTCCTTATCATGTATCCATTCGACACCGCTTCCTTTAGTAGTAATTTAACACCTTTTTGTAAATATAATATCTTGTCTTAACATCCTATTTATTATTTGTCTGAAGATGTCTTAAAGTAAAGACGAAACGTCACAATAAATTTAATTTTACAATTTGTTTTTTTTTTGTCTATTTCTATGGCTCTAATCAGAACTTTATGTTGGGCATTAATTTTTATCACACGAATGTGATCATATATAATTAAGTGGAGAAATATATTATACTACGCGCATTTGAGTCATCCAAATTTGTCGATGTTTTTCTATCATTTATATTTTTGTGCACTTTCCAAATTTTGGGTATATTTTAGACAATATAAAATTCTATAATATAGTTGAGTTTAAAAAAATTCTACGATGTATTTTTTTAGCTTTAGAGCTGTTTGTTGAATGTGGTGCCAACTTCAAGGTTTATACCAGAGTACATTCTCAAGGAATATTATTCCTTTTATATTTTGTGCACTCCAGATTTTGGATATGTTATATACAATAAGAATATTTACAATATGGCAAAGTTTAAAAATTCTACAGTGTAGTTTTTTATTTACAGGCCCTTGTTTAGCAATGACTTGAAATTCTTAACTTAATTATATAAGATCATATTACGCGCATTCTTGTCACGTAACTATGTCGATGATTTTCTAAAACTTATTTTTTTGTGCACTCTCCAGGTTTTCGATATATTTTAGACAATATAATTATCTATATTCTGGCCAAGTTTAAAAAAATTCTACCATGTAGTTTTTAAATTATACGCTAATTAAGGGAAATGAAAAGTACACTGTAACTTAAAGTTTTGTGTTTTCTTCAATTTCTTGACTTTTATACATTTTTTGTGATGTTTAAGGACAGTAAAATAGTAATAAACAGTTAAGAATTGTTTTTTACTGTTGTATTTGTTGGAAAACGTGTTTTAAAGACGATTTTTCGATTTATCATTTTGAATGATAAATTTTAGTTGAATGTGGTGATGAATGTCGTGATGAATGTTGTGTTGATTGTGGTGCCAATTTCACGGTAGTTATTTCTACGGAGAAGGTTTATTTCTACGGAGAAGGTCTATTTCTACGGAGAAGGTCGATTCTACGGAGAAGGTCGATTTCTACGGAGAAGGTCGATTTCTACGGAGAAGGTCTATTTCTACGGAGAAGCTCGATTTCTACGGAGAAGATCGATTTCTACGGAGAAACTGCTCGTGTCCCTTATGGGCCACGATTTCTACGGAGAAACTGGTCGTGTCCCTTATGGGCCACCGTATAAAATAGTAAGTTATATGAATGTGCTATTTTCTTGAAAGCATTTATCCCTTATGTTTTTGGCTTTTTGATTCTTATAAGTAAACTTTCAGAGGCGAGTTTTATAATTTCGTTGCCTTACGGTAACATGACTCGACGTTGTATGAATTTATATTTAGCTTGAAAATTCTGCTGTTCTTATTATTGTTGAGAAGTATTGTTTTATATCTAAGGTTTAAGATAATTTTGTAAGTTTTTGGTAAGAACTTTAAGCATAGATTTGTGTCAAATGTTTAAGTGTGACTTGATGTTTATGTTTTTGTCCGCTCTTCGTTCTTAGTATGAATAAATATGCAATCATCGGCAGTCATGCATGAACATTATCCTATCCTTCGGAAACATTTCACATCAAAGAATGGTAAAATCAAGGAAAAGCGAACTGCTAAAAACAATGAAGATGTTGAGAAATTTGTGACTGTTCTTAGCGGATGGCAAGCCGAATTGCGTATCCTATGCAGAAGTCTACAAAAAAGTGCTGGCAGACCTGAACGCCACTTAATTCGTTCAATTTGTGTTCTTCATCAGTGTCTTGTATTTTGTTGTATCTTGTTGGACAAGGTAAAGACATTATTGTCTGATAAAGGTAAACTCTCTTATGAAGAGATAGAACAACTGATTTATCTAAAAGTACATCTCAACAATTTAACCAAGCTTCTCAATGAAACAAATCTTATCTACAACAATTGTTGTGGCATCAAGCAAGAAATAAGAGATGATGCGAATCTTGAAAATATTACAAATGCTGTGAAATATATAAAAAGTACCATTTCCAATCTAAACCATCCTGAGATAAATGATCTCTTTGACTTAAATATCACCCCAGAAAATATTTTGTGCTCAGTGCTTGGTTTGAAAGTTGAGTTTGGTTTCAGGCTTTACAAATTAAGTCCTCACATGAGAGAACACAGGAGTGAAAAGGAAAATTTGCTAAGGTTCTTGAAGGAGTTTGAGGAAGAAGACAGCATAGAAAATCTCGGAGATAGTAAGGTTGCTAAAATCTTATGCAAGATTGGTTTTACAAAGCATCGATCTAAATTTATTGCTTAATGGATAACCAACATGGCAGATCCAAATCACAAACCAATTTTATCCTGGGTGGAAACTTACATTGAAAATCATTTTAAGTATAATGTCTTGTTAAATGATCAAGTCTTCAATTTCCCATACGAAAGTAATCTAAATGAATGGTTTACTGAGTATTTCTCATGTTTTGATGAAGAGGGAAGACATAGTCATCCTTTAAATATGATCAATGTTGAATCGCAAGAAGATGCTCTATGCCATGTTATATCAATATTTGCAAAACTAAATAAAAAAAATCCTGAGACAAAAGTGTATTTCCATTCTACTGTTGATGAAGAGGGAAGACATAGTCATCCTGTAAATATGATCAATGTTGAATCGCAAGAAGATGCTCTATGCCATGTTAAATCAGAAGTTGCCAAACTAAATAAAAAAAATCCTGAGACAAAAGTGTATTTCCATTCTACTGATCACAAAAGTGCTGTGGATATTCTGGAAGACAGAATTGAGCTTGGTTTTGGTCGAGACAAATCAGACTTCTCTGATGGAGAAGGGTTCTACATGATAAATGACGCAAAGTTCTCATTGGAGCAATATGGATTGAGCAGTACACATCCAGCTATTATCATGTTTGATGTGAGTCCTCAAAAACTGAGCAAGTTTAAAGGAATTGATTTATCCAGTGCTGAGAAAGAAGAAGATTGGAAATTGATTGTTGAGTATTTTCGCTCAAGTAGCCATGGTATTGGTAATTTACCCAAGAATTTGTTCTCACACATAAGACAATGTGATTACATCAGAGGTCCTGTTTCTATAAATGGTTCTATTAAAAATAACACATTATCTCAAGGTGTTGAACAAATTTGCATAAAGAAACGAGAATTGGCCAAGCAAATAGGGCATCCATCATCAATTTTAGGAGCCATTTTTCTTAAAGCTCATGAACTGATTCAAAAGGAAAATGAGCTTGGCAGTAAATCTCGTCTACCTTTAATCTTATAAGTAACTGGTGTTATACCCAAGAACAGTTGGTATAACATATTTTATTGTATACTTATATCTAGAACCAACAGTTGATCATTGTAGACTATGATTATCTTTTTACTATTTATACCTAAACATCGTGATATACTCAAGTTAGGAAACGAACTATTTACTGCTTGTTGTAGATTCGATAATTTTATTTGGCTTTTGTATGATGTCATGATGAATATCAAAAAATTTGGAATTTTTGTTCTTTAGTATTCAATCTGTTAGCATTGTACTTACAGCTTGTTGATGATGCCTTTAGAGTGCTGAGTTTTTTTACTTAAAAAAATTTGCAAAACAACACTGGTCTGCTCTTTGTACAACCACACAAATCACAAATGTTTCTAATATTTAAGGCAAATCAGCAATATGTTACTGCATAACACGTGATTAATCCTCTAAGTATTGAATATTTATATATAGTCAATGGCGCGGTATATTTATGGCTTTGTTATTGTGAAATTGAGGGTCAGTGTTTATTTGTTGCTTTGAATTGTATTCAGAGCTACAAAATTTCGACAATGACTTCACGAAAGCGTTGCTACAATGGATTAAAACATGCAAAACAACATATGATATTATTTTTCATTTCATTCGCCGTACTTTGTGGATTTTTACTTGGTGCTTTATTACATGGCAATGTTCAGTCGTCCATAGATCCAACACCAAAGGAATATGCAATGTCCTTTCTTGGTGAGATTTGGGTGAGAGCATTAAGACTTTTTGTTCTTCCTTTGATTGTATCCAGCTTGCTTTTGGCAGTCGCTGAATTGGAGTCAAAACAGAGCGGAAAATTGGGAAGAAGAACATTGCTGTATTATCTTAAGACTACAATGTTTCCAATTTAACCTGGAAATGTTAACGTGAAAGAACCAGAACCGAACGAAGAAAACGTTGAACCGATACATTCTGTGCTTGACCTAATAAGGTTTGTGCTAAATATTGATAAATTTACTGATTTAGCGCCCTGCTTTTGCGTTCACTGCAAAAATCTTCTTCTACGTATAAGTTATATTTCTATCAGTTAACGACAATGCTTTTTACTTTTTTTGAAGGCAACTTTATTTATTATAACGTAAATGCTACGTTCGCAAAACTGTGCAAGTGTACGAGATTTTCGAGCGCATACGGTAATCGCGTTATCGCAATATTCACTAGATTCTTAATCTTCTATTTGTGACAAATTTGCCTTAAGTACAAGAGGTGACTATGACTTTTTATACATTATTATATTCATATTTGACACTTTTTATTATGCCATACGAACCACAACTACCAAAGTGATAAACACCACAAGATCATAATGCTATGTTATAGAATACCCGTCCACTCACTATCTACTTATATAATATGCCTTGTTCTTTATACTTTGTTCTTTATTTTGACCATTAAATGACACTAAATGATACTTGATAAATAATAATTGAGAACTAAACGATATTTTAGTTTAACTTAAGCCTGTATGGGTGCCTTTAAAAATGGACGGGTATTCTATAATCGCTCCGAAATCTTAAATGGATAAGTTAATCTTAAACACAGCCTTTACAACAATAACATTGAAATATAAAAATTGCAATAAACCTTCCACTCTCTACTTATCACACACTCAATTTCTCATCTCTTTGAGACAGTGAGTGGAAGGTTTATTGAAATTTTTGCATTTCAAAGTCATTGTTCTATAGGCTATGTTTCAGAATAACTTATCCATTTCAAATCGTTTTATTTCACGGCTTTTGACCTTTTAATAACAAAATCATTGTTAAGTGATTATTGCTGTCATTGATCGTTTCATTCCTAAATAGTTGACCGCAAGACGTAAAATTGGCCGTTTGATTGTAAATCATGATTTTAATCTTGATACTTATCGTGCCATAATATTTCGCATTTTAGGCTCTGGTCCACTGCTCACTGCGAAATTTAACTGTGAAGTGTTAAGTAAAGAAAAGGTCGCTGAATGCTATGTAGCTGATCTTCAAAGTACGTAAAATGTCTTGGAGATATTTTTGCCTATAGAAAATTTTACTATGTTAAATTTTAGCGACGAAGTTCACTTTCCATGTCTGTGAATATCAACCATATTTATAGCACACTAACTTGTAAGAACGTATTCTTTGGAGACAATGATTATCTCGTTATTATATTCCCTGGAAAACACGTTTTATTGAACTGGTGGCTCTTGGCTTGTGTATTCTAATTTCTAAAGCAAAGTTCAATGTTCATAATTTCTTCACAAACACGACACGAAACGGGCATTACACGCGACAGAAGAAAACTGCATAGTCAATTTAGTCAAGTAGGACTTCTGCTTACCCAGGGCCGGCTACACTGAATAATTTTTTTGTGACAGAGTTTTCTGTAACACGCCCCCTAATACGTCTTACATTCACGTCATGATGGGACTTCCCCTTGCAGATAAAACATGTGAGATGAAGTGACTGTTGCATTATGGGTATTTTGCACGGGTGAAAAAAAAAAAGAAAAAAGTTTCCTAAATACACCATGCTGCGTCTTGTTCCGTCGTTGTTCATCATTGTGGAATGTCGGTTCATCGTGGTTGTTGCATCGCACTGGGGTGTCATTTAGCTGTGGCAGAATGGATAATATAAATTGTTAAATTTGGTCAACTGTATTTACATTCGATTTTATGCAAGGAAAGGAGCGTTGTTGAATGTCGGTTCATCGTGGTTCTTACATTGCACTGGTGTGTCAGGTTGCTGTGGTAGAATGAATGATTTAAGTTGTTAAAGTTGGTCAACTGTATTTACATTCAATTTTATACAAAGTAAGGAAAGGAGCTGAAACGGTGAAAAAATCCAGAGTTTACTTTAATCAAATACGGACAAGAAGAAAATCGCGAGAGCTTGAAGAAAGTACATCAAGACGAAAATAATTCCCGAAAATAATTCACAAAACGTTGCAGAGAGTGTTGAAGAGGATCAAGGGATGGAACCTGGAGCAGAAAGTCAGACTGAATATTTAAATTTTTTACTCGTACTTTTATATTGGAAACTTCTTATTGAATTGTATGATTTACATCTTCCTTCAATTCCTGATGAACTATAAATATCTATAATTTGTACAAGTGTGCCGTGAACATAATGATAATTGAAATATTAACTAATTAGAACAAATGTACTTTTTGATGTCGTATTTTCTATTTGTGAAAAAGCAAATTTTTATATGCTTAATTTTAATAATAATTTTAATATTTATCATTTCAACATGTATATATGCATAATGCATGATGTATTATCTTTAATCTTATTGGTGGAATTAGGTCTTATTAAGAAGCCCTACAGGGAAGTGTCATATAAGCGGTAGTAGAAGCGGTAACAGGGTAACAGACGTCTTCGCATCAAATTGGAGACGTGACTAGTTGACTTGATTCTTGTATATTTCTTTACGTTGCTACCTTGGCTTTAGAAAAAAAGGTAGATATGACTTATCTATTTTATTTTACACTAGGTAATAAAATATTTTGCTATTCTTAAGATTCGAACCATACGTAGCTTAAGATGTAGATTGTTTAGCAACTCGACGTTCGTTTAAGACGTCAAATTTTTAAGACGGATCTGGTTCTAAGACGCCACCACGTCGTAAAGTATTTGTGATTTAGCAAACCTTTTGTAGAACTTGGTCAAATAAAGTAAATGGTTTGAACCCGGGAATATCGTTACATGTTTGTAAATGTGGATCGTTAAGGTCGTGAAAGTATGATAGTATGAAACAAGTTTCATCCATTTCGGCATTTTTCCTGCTGGATCGTGTTTTCCGATCATTTTAAACTGATCCTGCAGTATATTCATTTCAATAAAATTATAAATAAAAGCAAAATCGACATAGAAAAATAAACAGAAAGACATTTTCATGAACGGTATCCGGAGTTTGATGTACAAACTCTACGAGATATACATCATCAAAATGTGCGAGTTAAAGCACCCCTGCTGTTATTAAGCGAAGCAAAGTTTTCAACCAGTTGCTATGTGAACAACTTCAATATCGATGAATATGTTGAAAATATGAATACCTTTGTTCTTACTTTGTTGTAAATTTGTAATTTAAGTATTCATCTTCTAAAAATGCCTCGCACGGCTGAAACTGTCCTCGTCACCTTCAACTTTCAAACTTCAATACAACTTGCCATTTTGTTTTTCAGTCGTTACCAAGGCCAAAAAAACAGAGCTACAGGGTTAAAACTCTCTACCGGTTTTCCTCTACATGTCATAAAAATTCTGCCTAAATCAGAAGTTTATAAAAGGAATAAAAACGCGAAAACTGTGATTTTGTAATACAAAAATAAGGAAAGGAGCGAAAACGGTGAAAAAATCCAGAGCTAACTTTAATCAAATACGGACAAGAGGAAAATCGCGAGAGCTTGGAGAAAGTACATCAAGACGAAAAAAATAATTCCCGTTCACAAAACGTTCCAGAGAGCGTTGCAGAGGATCAAGGGATGGAACCTGGAGCAGAAAGTCAGACTGAATATTTAATATTTTTACTCGTACTTTTATATTTGGAACTTCTTATTGAAGTGTATGATTTACATCCTCCTTCAATTCCTGATGAACTATAAATATCTATAATTTGTACAAGTGTGCCGTGAACATAATAATAATTGAAATATTAACTACTTAGAACAAATGTACTTTTCGATGTCGTATTTTCTATTTGTGAAAAATTAAATTTTTATTATCATTACTTGTTGCGCTCTTGTGCCCTCATTTACATAAAAAGATGAAATCCCTACTTTCCCACATCAATAGGCCGGAAAACTGATTACGTCACTGAATACGTCACGACCATTTTTACGACAGACATCGAATAATAATCGGCGAATACCGATAATTTCCACCGGCTGTTTCCGAGAATCGGTAAAGTCAGTCATGTAAACTCAAACTGTAAACTTGTATAAAACAAATTCCGAAGAAGCAAGACATCTTGAGATTGCAAAATATGCATCAAAACAAGACGAGAAGTGAACTGTAAATTTTTGACTTTATTTCAAAGTCATCCTCAAACAGAATGACAGAATTGTTCGTCTGTATGTAGAGTATTACCGTTTGAGGTTCTTGAAAATTTTGCATTGAAAAATGCAACTGATTAAACAATCTGCGTTATATCTTTGTACATATTTTGTGCCATCATCAACATAACGAATTGTTTGTATTTTTATTTCAAAATCGAGCGACGTTTAATATTATGACTTCATTTAGGTAAGTTCTATTGTACTGCAATCATTGATCATCGTTAGACTTTATAAAAAGATCTTTACTCCTTTTGAATTTTAAAACTGTTTTATATTTATGACAAAAGTTTGCTGAGATTTTGTTTACGATTGTAACATGTGACAGCCAGGGTTATGTGTTTATTAGCATAATTATCAGTCAGCCAAGCTTTTTTGAAACCATTATGAATCAACATTAACATCATCTAACATCGTACATGAACTGTTCTTAACCAATAGAGCTATACCTCATATTCATCATGTCATTTTAACTTTTAAATATGTTTATGTGAAGATTTCAATTGTAAAATGATTATTATATATACTACTGAACATTGTGTACAACAAGACAACTGTCAATAAATGAGTTGTCAAGGAAAACGAACCTTAAGAACCAAGAATAGCACGAAGCTTTGTTTCACACCACTGTATATGACAGATCATTCTCATTGAAATGCATCAAATTGCAATATTGCTACATAAACACAATGAGGATGAACATTTTGATGTTCACGAAAACAAAATTTAATTATTTATAAATGTCCCAAATGTGCACAGCAATGTAATTATATCTTACAATAGCTGCACCAGGCCTAAATACCATACAATGATAAATAATCTTTTGAAAATTTCATTGTTTGATTGTAAACTGTTTTCTTCTTTAAGATAAATCCCATTTCACCACCAACCTATGTTGTCATGACAACAACAATGAATCGAGAAGAAGGTTTGAAAGCTTTGGAAACATCTATCAAAGCCATTGAAGAAGTCATTATGAACAAGAAAGGAACATTTGTTTTACAACAAGCTGTAAGTGTTTGGTTTATATTTCTATGAAAAGTATATTGTATCACTAAAATGACATCCCCATGGTGCCTCTACTGTCCTCATATCATCCTGTTACCATTTCCCTAAGTACCCCATGCTGTATTAAGACGGACATATTCAATCATTAGTCGTTTATTTGAAAATTACAAAGACACCATCCCAATGCATTGAAATCAATAATATTAGGACCCTGTGACATTGGCAATAATTTATGTTAACTGTCCACAAAAATTAGTTTTTCCTAAAGCTAATTATGCATTGTGATAACCAGTGTGCGAATTAGTTGAGAAAAAACGATGTGCAATTTTTTTTGACAAAAGTGTTTGTTTAGAGGCATAAGCAAATCGATATTACGTTCATTACTATATGTAGCACTATTTGCTAAATTATTGTTTTTAAACATGAACAAATTCATATGATTTACAACCGCTGATCCAGTTACAAATGTACGAAAGAAATTTTTTGCGCATGTTATTCTCTTCTCTTTTTTGTGCAATCTTTACAGCGCAATAAATTCACCACTTGGCCATCATCCTAGTACTCAAACTAGTCAGCATTTCATGTTTCCATCTATTTTTTTACTGTATTAACTTTGCTGGCAGCTACAACCTTTCGACGAAGATGGCAAGAAAGACAAAGGTGAAAAGAGAATAACCAAATATACTTTTGCTTTCTGATTATTAACAGTAACATCCTTGATGTTTACTTACTATAAAAAACATCATATTTATGTCATATTACAAACAATATGTAAAAGCAAAAGGTATGGCTAATCAAGGTCGCCAGTTTGGCTTAATGTTTTGAGCCAAATTTGGCTTCTTTTTCTCTTGTTAGGCTTATTTAAAATCAATGATATCATCAGTGTGCGAATTAAAGGTGTGCAATGTGCAATTTGCACATCGTTTTAGCTGGAATGAAGACAACTGCACATCACTTTTTCAAACGATATGCAAAAAACTTCTTTATTGATTACTACCACATAAATTGAAGAAAGTTTTCAAGCTTAGTCTTTACTGATCTTTACTTTATAAACGAGTGCGCTGCACGACATTAAAATCCATGTTGACACAATGTCATCAAATTCAAAGACGTTGTATCTGAGACTGGGAAGTCTGTCAACAGTCTACATACATGGTGCTTATATGCTTATGACAATAGGGGTGTCATACATTATTATTGTCAATTTTTGCATTTGCGTTGTTTTGTAAACCGTTACGTACTGTTTTTGGCATCATAGCTATTTTGAGTATTTTCATGAAAATCAGGAAACATTTTGATTTTGATTCCTAAAAGAAGACAAAAAAAACTTAAATAAGCCAAATTTGAAAAATAAACCAAAAGGAATTTTGATTTTAAATAAGCCTAACGTGAGAAAAACATTAATGGCTCAAAACATTAAGCCAAACTGGCAACACATCAGCCATACTTTTTGCTTTTACATATTGTTTGTAATATGACATAAATATGATGTTTTTTATCGTAAGTAAACATCAAGGATGTTACTGTTAATAATCAGAAAGCAAAAGTATATTTGGTTATTCTCTTTTCACTTTTGTCTTTCTTGTCATTTTCGTCGAAAGGTTGTAGCTACCAGCAAAGTTAATACAGTGAAAAAAATGGTTGGAATTATCAAATGCTGACTCGTTTAATTACTAGGATGATGGCCAAGTGGGGAATTTATTGTGCTGTAAAGTTTGCACAAAAAAGAGGAGAGAATAACATGCGAAAAAAATTTCTCTCATGCATTTGTAACTGGATCAGCGGTTGTAACTAAAAACACTGTCGTAAATCATATGAATTTGTTCACGTTTAAAAATATTAATTTAGCAATTAGCGCTATATAATAATTAACGTAATATGCATCTAAAGAAACACTTTTGTCAAAAAAAATTGCACATCGCTTTTTCTGAACTAATTCGAACACTGGCTGTATCACTAAACTGACATCCTCTACTATCCTCGTATCATCCTGTTACCACTTCCCTAAGTACCATGCTGTATTAAAAATGGGCATTATCAAAGTTCACGTATGACTTCATCATCAGTTGTTTTTTTTGTAAATTACAATAGACATGTTTCGACATCTTCAGTATGAGTGAAATAATAAGTGATATAAGGTTTATATAAAAGTAATATGATACACAAATTACAACAATAAAAAGGAAATAAGATAAATTAATGGGGAGCGTCCGAGCGTATTATAAACTAAATATTGTATTGAATTTAAAAACTTGAACATTGAGGTCAGGGTTAGTTTTGTTAATGTGGAGTGCTTCTTTGATTTTAAGGGAGAATGAGGTGTCGGCAGTGTCGATGATTTTGAAGCAAGAGGGTGAATAGTTGGTTTTACATGAGTGAGATTTAAGAAGGTGTCCGTAGATATGAGAGTTTTTGTCTGTTGTGGTATGTTCCCTGATTCTGGTGGATAAATGGCGCGAAGTTTCGCCAATGTATCGGCAATTACATCCCGCGCAATTCAATGTTGTGAAAATTAGTCGAATGTCAATATCTGTACAGAAGCGTTTCATAATGTTTGTAAATCTGCGTTGTGTGTGTCGTGAGTAATGTCAATGTAGGGTAGTTTGAAGTATAGAGTTGTTATTTTGGAATTTTCTTTTGTGTTGGTTGTGATCGTCGTGTCAGGGGTTTCGGTGTCTAGTTTGAGGTTGTTGCTTTGTTTTTTGTCGAGATATCGTTTTACGGTTCTGTTAATAAAGTGTAGTGGGAAAGAGTTTCGTAAAAAAGTGGATGTGATGTTTTTTTATGTCTCGTTAAAAGCCATTGTTTGTATTGTTAAGTTTGTATTCTCTGTCGATTAGTGTGCGATAAATTTGCACATTACAAGTCGATTGTTGATTCAAACCTTCACTTTACCCACAGATTTTTAACCTTGATCATTACTAAACAAGAGCTTAGCAAACCACTTTTGTGTTTTTTTTGTCAGTTCTTCTCATTATGTCACATACATGGCAATCAAGATTAGAGGTTGAAATGTACTTGTAAATCCTATTGCCATGCATTTGCATTTATACAAGAAATTTGTTGATTTCAAATGATAAATTTAAGCTATACATTTCTACCATTGATAATCATTGTTATCTGTTTAGCCAAAGGTTGTCACAGATATGGATGAAGCAGACTTTGCAAAGGAACTGGAAAAACTTGAACGTCAAAATGCAGAAGTTGATGGTGATGATGATAATCCTGATGATGAAGAAGAACAAGATGAAGCATAAATGATTGTGGTTTGTTTTAAAACATTTTAAAAGACACATACTGTGTTTTATTTTTATCTTACACGACCCTACAGTTGACTTGAACAGCATTTAGTTAAACTTCAATTATATTCAAACCCAACACAAGATATCAATCTTTCATGTGACTATTAGAAATAAATGTTTCATGGTCAGTATTTCGAGAGAAGATTTATTTAAGGTTCATTATGGTTAAAATACAGCCTCAAATATTTAGCTTGAGATGAATTGGACCTTCGCGAAACTATTGTAAATGTGTAGTCGTTGAAGTGAAAGATAAATTTCATCTTGACTTAATCTAGACGTTCACCTTTGTTGTGTATCAGAACTTATACAGTCAGTGAAGTTCGTTGAAAATTTCTATAGCTACTTTCTAACTTTATATATCATCAAATGAAACTGAGAATATTTGAAATTTCAAACGCGGAAGTGTATTAAGATGTTCGCTGTAAAATTACAAAAGTTCACAAAACGATAGAACCTTTATGATTTTATCGACATTGCAAATGGAAAAAGCAACAATAAAAATAAACTTAATTAAATGAAATTAAATGAAGATATGATCTTCACACTTTGCTGGACAATTTAAGAAATTGTCTCATGAACCTGAAAAATTCAGGTGACTTAACGGGATCCATGACCTCTGCGGTGCCGGTGCAGTGCTCAGTTGCTCAGTAGCTCAGTTGGTCAGAGCACTGCAACGGCACCGCAGTGGTCATGGATCCCGTTGAGTCACCTGAATTTTTCAGGTTCATGAGACAATTGCTTAAATTGTCCAGCAAAGTGCGAAGATCATATCTTTATTTAATTTCAAACACCGCACTGCATAAAACATTCTTTAATAAAAATAAGCATTACTAGTTTTATGAAACAGTGTCGTTTCGTGTTCATCTGATGTACTTCATCCTGCTTCTGTTCAGAGCTTGTTTTGACTCTTGGTTAGGAGATGTTTCCATCACGAAAGTCAAAGTGTGAGTGATATCTGACGACGTCATGAGCTCGACGCAGTCCGAATTTTCGTTGGGTGATGAAATCACAAGGTTTTGATTGGTTCTTGTAACTGTTTATGCACATTGATGTCATTACTCTCTACACACTCAGTAATCACACTGACAGTAATCCGTCAGAGTAAGACCTATTTATTCAAGTGGATGAGATTTCTTCTTCACAAGAGAGTTAACTGTGACTGTAAGAGGTAAGAAAGCTTGTCTATTTTATTTGACTCATGTTGAAAATAAATTTCAATCGAATGTAGCTGTCGGGCCTGAAATGTATTTCTTATACGATGTACCCATATGCCTTGTAGAAACTTTATATGCAATAATTGACATTTATTTATTTTTCATCTGCTAAAAAGTATTGAAACATTTAATGAATTTTCACAAACTATCTTGTAAATAACCCGTACGAAAAGCGTCTTGCGATCTCTAAATTTATAGTAAGTTAAATAATGTCAATGATGACGGTGTGATGTCAGTATTGAGGCAACGCTACACGATGGCTCTTCTGCCACCACAGCCTCTACTGCACGCCAGGCTCTACGCCCACAGATCTAATAATAGAGACCTCAAGATTTCACGACACGCGTTACCACTTCCACAGCGGAGTCAAATCGCTCCGGAAAACGATATAAAGCGTATCGGATTTTAGCGGAGCCGTATGAACGCAAGGCCTATCCGGTACGAAAAGTAATCCGGTATCTAACCAATCCAGTATCGTGTGAACAGGGCCTTAATGTGCCATAACTCGAAGTTCACGTGACTAAGTAATCTTGTTGATATTCGCATAATCAGCAGCCACAATACATTTTTATGTGGCACAAAGAAAGAGAAAGTCGGTGAAAATCACTCAGCCAATAACCAATTAAATCATGTTAACTGAAGCTTAAAGGATGTTTTCTGTATTCTGTTCAATTTGTTGCCAACCAGCACAACATCAACACATCCATTAACACCAACAATTATATGGTGTCATATATGCCACCACGTCTTAAAGTATTTGTGATTTAGCAAACCTTTTGTAGAACTTGGTCAAATAAAGTAAATGGTTTGAACCCGGGAGTATCGTTACATGTTTGTAAATGTAGATCGTTCAGGTCGTGAAAGTATGATAGTATGAAACAAGTTTCATCCATTTCGGCATTTTTCCTGCTGGATCGTGTTTTCCGATCATTTTAAACTAATTTTTTGATATCAAAAATATCCTGCAGTATATTCTTTTCAATAAAATTATAAATAAAAGCAATATCGACATAGAAAATTAAACAGAAGGACATTTTCATGAACGGTATCCAGAGTTTGATGTACAAACTCTACGAGATGTACATCATGAAAATATGCGAATTAAAGTACCTCTGTTGTCATTAAGGGAAGCAAAGTTTTCAACCAGTTCCTATGTGAACAACTTTAATATCGATGAATATGTTGAAGATATGAATACCTTTGTTCTTATTTTGTTGTAAATTTGTAATTTAAGTATTCATCTTCTAAAAATGCCTCGCACGGCTGAAATAGTCCTCGTCACCTTCAACTTTCAAATTTCAATACAACTTGCCATTTTATTTTTCAGTCGTTACAAAGCCAAAAAACAGAGCTTCAGGGTTAAAACTCTCTACCGGTTTTACATACATACAGTGATTATGAGCATGAAAATGATTTGTTGTGTAGGACTGATTACACATTACATTAAACAAAGAGGAATGGGACTTATTGGACCTATAAGTCCATGTCTTTCGCAAAATGTAATGTTTGTTTCTTAAAATATTAAAATGCATTGCTATATAAGTGTCACGCGCTCGGAAAGTCGACGGAAAACTCGAGTGAGCATAAGTATCTCCACTTCAGGTGCTTTACTTGCGACGATTATAGAAACGTCTTCGCAAATTTAACATAAAATTCATTGTTATTTTGAATGAAAACTGTTTTTATTAGATAAATACTCTATCGTCATTTGTAATCCAAACGTTTTGTGAAGAGTAAAATCGCCCTTCACGGATAAATCAAACGAAATTTTCTTCTGTAAATGAACAGAGTAAGCAGAATGATGATGAAATGAGTTTAACTTGTCAAAGCAAAACTTCTCTGTTAGTTCATTAGTTGAGTTGTCCTGGTAAAATTAATAATTCTTCTAAAACTCTTGTGGACGTTGTGGTCCTGTATCTATGAAGCCGAAATATTTATAGTTGTATAATGATGATATGTTCGTGTCAGTTTATTCCAAGGTCATGTTGTCGTTATCAAATTGATAAGTACTCTTCGATAATAAGCTCTACTACACTCTCAGTTTGGTACTTTTCTTGACCATTACATGACACATACGTACATATTTTAAAACGAAAATTATTTGACATGCTCAAACAGTTATACTATATGAAACATTTCTTGGCTCTGGGACTGTAAAGTCACTATTGAGAGCTTTGACTTATTGTCTACTTGTAATAACACATAAAATGTACTCCTGTCCACCATACGGTCAATAAAATACTCTTGCCGTTAAAAGCGCCAATGATAACATGAAATCACATTGTTTTTCTAACCGAGTGAATCTCCTTGATGCAAATCAGCAACCGTTCATAAAGCCATATTATTGCTATTGTAATATATTCTTAATACTTTTGTTTTTCTCCATGTTATCCATGGTTGATGCAATCATGAAAAAATATGCTGCAACAAATATTACATGATATTCTTCCACCAAGTGTATGTTAAGTGTATTAAAAAAACAAGGTCTTCCACCAATAAGATTAAAGATAATACATCATGCATTATGCTTATATACTTGGATAACCTTCCAGAGAAAGCAGTGACGTCAAACTGTAAGCGTGTAAAACTGGAGACTTGACTAGTTGACTTGATTCTTGTATATTTCTTTACGTGGCTAACTTGGCTTTAAAAGAAAAGGTAAATATGACTTATCCACTTTATTTTACACTAGGTAATACAACTAGAAGTTGCTATCGCAAGGGGGGATTGCTGGCCCGACCCCTTATCTGGAAAAAATAGCAGGGTTCAGAACGAAGTGACATCCATTGGAGCCACCTCCGTGTACAGCATTCTCGGTGGTTTCATACATACGTTATGATTGGGTGATTAGAATGATAGACAAAGAAATTTTACATGCGTGTCTCTTTAACTTTTAGCTTTGCGTTGGCAAGGTTTATTTCATCATGTTTAGAGTTTTCTTTCTATCTGAAGGCCGGTTTACACGTTCCGATTTGTCAGATCCTATTGTTTCGGTTCCGTCTTTTGATTGCTTGTTCAGACGGTCAAATAGTTTTGTTGATATTTAGATACGTTTAGATTTTTATAATCTTGAGAGCAGCCATTTGTGCTTTGTCCATTTATCGATATATTTGCGTACTTTTCTTCTTGTTTCCAAGTCTTTTTCAAATATATATAATTTGGCTATGTAAAATTTCTTTGTCTATCATTCTAATCACCCAATCATAACGTATGTATGAAACCACCTAGAATGCTGTACACGGAGGTGGTTCCAATGGATGTCACTTCGCGTGACAAAGGCACGCGTTCTGAAAGTCGAGGATTGTTTTCCGGCGACGTTATCTCGTCTTCATATTTCATTGTTGAACTCGCACCATGCGTTTAAAATTATTTTTGACGTTTTGTTAAATCCACACCGATATTTCAAGTAATAATAAAAGCTCGAACAAAAATAAATACATGCTTACACAACATTTTTCTCACCGTGTAACCATAGAGCGCAAGATAAAAAATGTGAACCGAGCTGGCTAAATACGGCACGGTGAATGCATTTTATGTGTTTTTCGCAAAACGAGATATGTGTTATTGATGTCGGTAATCACTCGATTTTAGTATCCACTGTATAACGTTGTTTAGGCCGCATATCTATTCGGATTCCAGACATTTAAAATCAAATAGAAACTTACAGATGTTCCGAAAGGTTCTACCTTATTGTGATTGTTCGTCCCCCCTCATTTCGTAAAAAAATATTCGCAAATTTAATTTATTATTATTATACTGCGTGAAAGAAAATTGTTTATGATCTTCAATTTTTTCTACATTTCTTTGTAGTCAGTGTGGGTCATATGCGTACAACCCTACAATCCCGCAAATGTTTTAGAAAATGATCACGTGATATAAAAACAAAATACTTATGAATTCCAGACGCAAAGATATACTTTACAAATTTCAGAACATTACCATTGATAATTTTTCTAGAAATCTATAGTTTCACCGTCTGAGAGTGGTGAAATTTGAAACTCGTAATAAGTTGGCTATTTTGTAGAATAGTCCACATTATGCCTCTTTTCCTATTCTAATTATCTTTTGATCGTCATTTACAAAAAGATGACTGACAAAGGTAAAAAATCCTGTGTTGCAAAAGAGGATAACGTTAAAGAAGATAGTTGTGATGGGTTAGAAGATGGCAACGAAAGATACGACAATGCATTAGAAAATGAAAGCATGGAAGATGGTGGAAATACTCAACCAATTCTAAGTTTACCCATACAAGAGACTTTTCCTGAAGAATTTTTGTTTGACCTGCAAGACTTGACAAGAGAAGATAGATGTGCGATGCAAATACTGAACGAAGATTTGGTTTTAAATGTTCCATCAGCGTTAGAAAAACTTTAAAGATTTGTCAACTTCAACGTAAAATGATTTATGCTGAGAGAAATAAATCATGTACATTTTATATTATAAATAGGTTTGTCAAAAGGAAGTGTAAAAGGAAACCATTCAATAATCATTCGTAGACATCCATACTTATTAATATCTATTGAATGGTAATTTTTTAGTGCTGTGATTGGTCTTTTTTATACTAGAGACACATAATGCTCGTCTGATACTTCGTTGGATAATTCATCCCGTTTTTATACTAGACGAGTAATAAAGACGACGCATTATGCGTCTCTAGTATAAAAACGGCCATTGCATTCGTATAAACTCAATTATACTTAAATAATTGCTTCAAACAAATTATTTATGAGGCTATAGTTTGCGTCATGAGATATTTTATTTTCGTCTCCTAATTACCGCTTGCTGCGAAAGTTGAAAACTTCGGAAATTAAGAAACTTGCTGTCGGGATAATTACAGTAAATATATTGTAGACAATAATTATCTTTTTATACCGTTTGTATCTGAGTGACGTGATGTTCTCAAGTATAGGAACAACATAAGCAAGCCTTCCGGAATAAAACCAAAACATATTAAAGAAAAAAGATTCTTTGTTTCATTAAAAGACTTTCTATAAGACACACAAACGTCTCATGTAAAAATGCGCAACTTTGCATGCAACCACTGAATGAAATTTTTTAATTTTAGCAAACCATCCTCACTACCAATTATGTATTTTTCCATTGCCAAGTTTACAAATTTTTTAGTATTTACTGCCAGTTGTAGATTCGATAAAAAACAGAATGTTTTGAAATACTGTTTGTAAGGGCTCTTATAGTGATTTCTATTTTATTTTTTCCTATCACAAGTTTCCAATTATTGTGATGACGACGATTAGCTTTTGTTTTGTGAATTAGTTTAGCCTTCTCTCCATTTATTTCAAATGAAAGCGTTTAAAAGGGATTTCCCCCTTGGCTGTTAAAATCTGGAAAGAAAAACACGTGACCAAAGTCTCTAATATGTATTGAATATTTATATATAGTCAATGGCGCGGTATATTTATAGTCTTTGTTATTGTGAATTGTAAAGTTGAGATTCAGTGTTTATTTGTTGCTTTGAATTGTATTCAGAGCTGCAAAATTTCGACAATGACTTCAAGAAAGCTTTGCTACAATGGATTAAAACACGCAAAACAACATATGATTTGATAAACAACATTTGATAAACAACATATTATTTTTCATTTTATTCAGCGTACTTTGTGGATTTTTACTTGGTGCTTTATTACATGGCAATGTTCAGTCGTCCATAGATCCAACACCGAAGGAATATGCAATGTACGTGTCGTTTCTTGGTGAGATTTGGGTGAGAGCATTAAGACTTTTGGTTCTTCCTTTGATTGTATCCAGCTTGCTTTTGGCAGTCGCTGAATTGGAGTCAAAACAGAGCGGAAAATTAGGAAGAAGAACATTGCTGTATTGTGTTATGACTACAATGTTTGGGGAGTAATTTGTTTATTTGCATTTAACCTGGAAATGTTAACGTGAAAGAACCAGAACCGAACGAAGAAAAAGTTGAAGCAATACATTCTGTGCTTGATCTTACAAGGTTTGTGCAAAATATTCATAAATTTACTGAGTTTGCGCCTTGCTTTTGCGTTCACTGCAAAAATTTTCTTATACGTATAACTTTTATTTCTATTATTTAACGACAATGCTTTTTACTTTTTCAATATGAACATAATAGCCCAACATAAGACATTTAAAAAAGCCATCACAATAATAAAATAAAGAAAGATTAAAGGTTTTTTAATAATTACGTTTCTTCTTTAACTTAAGACATCTTCAGATTATTTGAGATAATTTATATACATGACGTTAAATACAAGCATATAGTACAGGGTGTTAAATTACATGTGAGGGGAGTAGGAAGTTTAGATGAAGGAATGAAGTGAGAAGGGCGGTACATTAAAGAAGGTGAAGGGGGATTGAGTTGCCTTGGGTGTTAAGAGAGGGTTTAAGTTTGGATATAAGAAGGCTTTCATGAATCATAAGGTCATAATTGTCGGCTTTTTAATTTACTAAAGGAAACCTTTTTTTATTAGAAAGTAAATGCTTCTTTCGCAAAACTGTGCAAGTGTGGAGATTTCCAAGTGCGTAGATAACCCATTCACCTTCACTATTGTGAAACGATAATAAATACATTTATGATACTAATTGTAAATACATTTTATTATGTCTTACGAACCATACCAAAGAGAGCAAAGGTAATGCTACAAGATTATAATAAGAACATCAAGCTTTTAAATGGATAAGTTAATCTGAAACACAGCCTTTATCAGTGTGCGAATTAGTTCAGAAAAAACGATGTGCAATTTTTTTGACAAAAGTGTTTCTTTAGAGGCATAATCAAATCGATATTATGTTAATTATTATATAGCGCTAATTGCTAAATTAATATTTTTAAACGTGAACAAATTCATATGATTTACGACAGTGTTTTTTGTTAAAACCACTGATTTTTGCATATTGTTTGAAAAAGTGATGTGCAATTGTTCTCATTTTAGCTAAAACGATGTGCAAATTGCACATTGCACATCGTTAATTCGCACACTGGCCTTTACAACAATCACCTTGAAATATGAAAATTGCAATAAACCTTCCACTCTCTACTCATCACACACTCAATTTCACATCTCTTTAAGACAGTGAGTGGAAGGTTTATTGAAATTTTGAACTTCAAAGTCGAAAAGATCTTTACTCCTTTTGAATTTTAAAACTGCTTTATATTTATGACAAAAGTTTGCTGAGATTTTGTTTACGATTGTAACATGTGACAGCCTGGGTTATGTGTTTATTAGCATAATTATCAGTCAGCCAAGCTTTTTTGAAACCATTATGAATCAACATTAACATCATCTGACGTTGTACATGAACTGTTCTTAACCAATACAGCTATACCTCATATTCATCATGTCATTTAAGTTTTAAATATGTTTATGTGAAGATTTCAATTGTAAAATGATTATTATATGTACTACTGAACATTGTGTACAACAAGACAACTGTCAATAAATGAGTTGTCAAGGAAAACGAACCTTAAGAACCAAGAATAGCACGAAGCTTTGTTTTACACCACTGTTTATGACAGATCATTCTCATTGAAATGCATCAAATTGCAATATTGCTACATAAACACAATGAGGATGAACATTTTGATGTTCATGAAAACAAAATTTAATTATTTATAGATGTACCAAATGTGCATATCAATGTAATTATATCTTACAATAGCTGCACCAGGCCTAAATACCATACAATGATAAATAATCTTTTGAAAATTTCACTGTTTGATTGTAAACTGTTTTCTTCTTTAAGATAAATCCCATTTCACCACCAACCTATGTTGTCATGACAACAACAATGAATCGAGAAGAAGGTTTGAAAGCTTTGGAAACATCTATCAAAGCCATTGAAGAAGTCATTATGAACAAGAAAGGAACATTTGTTTTACAACAACCTGTAAGTGTTTGGTTTATATTTCTATGAAAAGTATATTGTATCACTAAAATGACATTCCCCTGGTGCCTCTACTATCCTCATATCATCCTGTTACCATTTCCCTAAGTACGCCATGCTTTATTAAGACGGACATATTCAATCATTAGTCGTTTATTTGAAAATTACAATGACACCATCCCAATGCATTGAAATCAATAATATTAGGACCCTGTGACATTGGCAATAATTTATGTTAACTTTAAGCAAAAATTAGTTTTTCCTAAAGCTAGTTATGCATTGTGATATCATAACGATGTCTTTTGCATGTTGAAGAAAAGTTATGTGCCTCCAAAACAAAATAAAATAACAAAGCATGTGTTCACATCATTTACACAATGACTGTCTCATGTTTGCTTTCTCTGACTGTGTAACTATTATCAGAAGGACATCACTTGAGTCCATTGGACATTTTACACACTTGTATGATGTATCAAAGATTTGAAATCATGCAACAGACGTATGTTTAATAAGCTGCTGTTTTTTGCAGCTTCAGAGAAAAGAATAAGATAAGCAGAGTTTGTCATGTTCTTATTTGAGTAGTACTTTATGTTAAACTTAGGAGCTAAACATGTTTCATATAAAATGTTTTATGCTTTTTGATTGGTTGTATGAAATGATCTATTCCACGACCAACCCCTTACCTCTTGTTTTCAGTGTGAGCGTAGGGGTTGGTCGTGCCATACAAACAAAATACTTTTACTCTATAGCGTTGCGTGAACTGACAATCTTTAGTAAAAGCTCAGAAACGATATCTCTGACTCTTTGAGCTTCAGACGCAACGTTTGACTGTCCTTTACTGATTTCTATGTTCACACACAATCCAAGAACACAGTAAAACGATGAATAATTCGACAATATTTGAAATACTCGTGCGAATAAAGTTGGGCATGACCAATGGAAAATATTTGGCGATTGAGCATGCGTACGACGCAATGCAGCTTTATATATTATTAGTAATTTATGTTTTGGTTGTTCTCGCCTGATCAGAGCACGACCAAACTAGGGCTGACTATACCCATTTTAACAGGCCGTGAGGTTTTCCAGCCAATCAGCGCTCAGGAATATATAATTTGGTCGTGCTGGTCTGAGTAGAGGACGACCAAAAACGGGCGAACGCCCTTCCATTAGCTTTTAGTCAATAAATAGGACAGATGTCGGGTAGAAACGTAATATAGTGAAAGTAATATGAAGTACATAACACAAAATGCAAATGAAGCATAAGAAATCGATTTTGTTTTCGCTAATATCTGTTAAAATTAAAAACAAATATTAAAATTTTAGTGGGTAAATAAAACCTTAGTTTGAAAAATGTTTGGTCGTGCTCAGCACAACCATCACGACCTCTAGCTCTGCCACTGTGTGGATGGTTTGCTGAAATTAAGAATTTTCACCCAGTGGTTGCAATTTCTTTGTGTATTATAAATTGTTTCTATACTTAACTACATTATAAAGTAAATGGTTTGAACCTGGGAATGTCGTTACATGTTTGTAGATGTAGATCGTCCAGGTTGTTAAGTCCTGAGAAGGATGTTGGTGTTGATGTAGACTGACTTTTCGACAACCTTAGAGGTAGTCATCTTCAGATTCAAATGTTTGTGGAAGTCAGAGTCAAAAGTCACTTGACTCTAAAGATGACTACCGCTAAGGTTGTCGAAACGTCAGTCAACAACAACAAAAACAGTTCTTCTCAGGACTATACCAACCTGGACGATCTACATTTACAAACATTTAACGATATTATGTTGTTCCTATACTTTAGTACATCACGATATTTAGGTATGAAAAAAAAAAGCTTTTAAAAACAATTTTATTCTGACAATCGCAGCAAAAATAGACCAACGGATAGAAAAATTGTGTGATAAGGAAAATTGAGCAAAAGATGATCAATGTCTACAATGATCTACCATTGATTCTAACTATAAAAATGCAATGTTTCCGTTAAATTTTGTAGCAAGTGGTAGACAGGAAGCCAAAAATAAAATATTGTCACAGCGCAAACTATAGTCAACATATTTGTGCTCTTTTCACTGATTTGCACGCAGAAATTAGAAATACTTTTTGAGCAAACCTCATTGTTGGCTATGAAATAACACTATCATTATTAGCTTGTTTTGAAACAATTGTGTTGGAATGAGTTGATAATAGCACTGAAAAAAACAGAAATCAATAATGACATAAATAAAAATACAGATCATTACGAAATAGATTTACAAAAACTTACAAATTTTTACAAATTTTTCATTAGTAGATAACAAGTATGGTTGTTTTTGAACGATTATTGAGTGGTTAAAACAAAATATTTTCTTGAGTTTTACACAAATCTATTTATAATAAAATTTTACATAATCTTTTCCTTTCAATGAATACCACTTTACGTTGAAGTTGACGATGATTTAAAGTTTTTCTTGAGTTGATGGAACATTCAAAACAAGGTCTTCCTCCAACATTTCCATCGAAGATTCAAATTCTTCAGAAAAAGTCTCTTGAATGGGTAAATTTAGAATTGGTTGAGTATTTCCACCATCTTCCATACTTTCATTTTCCACTGCACTGTCGTATCTTTCGTTGCCATCTTCTAGCCCATCACAAGTATTATCTTTAACGTTATTCTCTTGAGGGAAAGAGTCATCATTTCGACTCTTCTACAAATGGAAATGCTGGTTTCCCACGCAAAAGAGTTACGTTAATGGGGTACGATTTACATGATGCTTATACCTGTAAAAAAATATTTTCCAATTTTGCGCAAAAGAAATGAAACAAGAATGTAAGATTTGGGATAATTATATTTTATTTCGCATGGTCATATTGATAACAAATTAAAATCGTCACGATTTCTAGTTACATCACCTTAAGTACATATGGTTTGGATCGTAAACGTAGGAAAACATGTTTTTAAGAAGTGTTAAATAAATTACATTAGTAACAGCTACCTTTTTTTTAAAGCCAACTTCACGAATATTCACGAATAAAAATCAAGTCGAGTGTCAAGTTTAACGCGCTTGAGGACTTCAAACACCAATCAATGTTCTGTTATACACATCTCTATATAAACTAATGAATATTGGATGGCAGGCAGTGTTTCCACGCTCCCACGTTCTTTCTATTCCGCACCAATAAGATTGAAGATAATTAATAAAAGTTGAACTTTTGTAACAAATACTTAACATATTTAATGAAATAACTATCATATTTTTCAGGTTCATGAGACAATTGCTTAAATTGTGAAGTGCGAGGGTGATATCTTCATTTAAAATAACTATTATAACTATTAAGTTTGAAACAATCACCAAGCAAAACAAACATTAACAATATATATACCACCTAATGTGCCAAGATAAAAGATCATTTTCTCACTAAGATCATTTTGTCGCAAGAAAATGTAATTTGTCCCCCATTTTTCCCTAGAACTTAGTTTTTGCTTATACTTCTGTTGTAACTATGTATAAGAAAAGAAAATTGGAACTTCTCTAACGTTACAGGAACGCTTTCATTTTAAGAACTTTACAATTATAACCTTTATGAAGGCCCAATTCTTTTAAAACTGAATGACTGATAATTTTGTGCCAGTAGAAATAATGTATAAACCGTCCAAGTTGTAAATAATGACTGTGTTTTCACTGTTTCGAATTCTACAAGCGCGTAAAACTGGAAACGTGTACCTACTACCTGCATATGAAGACAATACATATTAATGTATAAGCTTCATTTGTAGGCGTTACACAAAAGAACCTGACAAATAACTAGTTTATTAAAATAAAGAATCTTTGTCAAAATTTATGCTTATAACTTTAAAAGATTGAATCATGAATGTAAGATTTAGGATAATTATATTTTATTTCACATGGTCATATTAATAATAAATTAAAATCGTCACGATTTCTTGTTACATCACCTTAAGTACATATGGTTTGCATCGTAAGCGTAGGAAAACATGTTTTTAAAAAGTGTTAAATAAATTACATTAGTAACAGCTACCTTTTTTTTTGTGCAAATACTTAAACTTCCTAGTTTAATAGTTATTCAAATATTAACAACATTCATATACCACCTATTGTGCCAAGATAAAAGATCTTTTTGGTTGAGTCGTGTACTTGAGCCGGGTACTCCATGAGTACAGAATAAAAATACAGATCATTACGAAATGGATTTACAAAAACTTACAAATATTTACACATTTTTTACTAGTAGATAACAAGTATGGTTGTTTTTGAACGATTATTGAGTGGTTAAAACAAAATATTTTCTTGAGTTTTATACAAATCTATTTATAATACAAAATTTACATAATCTGTTTCTTTCAATGAATACCACTTTACGTTGAAGTTGACGATGATTTAAGGTTTTTCTTGAGTTGATGGAACATTCAAAACAAGGTCTTCCTCCAACATTTCCATCGAAGATTCAAATTCTTCAGAAAAAGTCTCTTGAATGGGTAAATTTAGAATTGGTTGAGTATTTCCACCATCTTCCATTCTTTCATTTTCCACTGCACTGTCGTATCTTTCGTTGCCATCTTCTAGCCCATCACAACTATATTCTTTAACGTTATTCTCTTGTTCAACACAGAAATTTTTACCTTTGTCGTTCATCTTTTTGTAAAGGACGATCTAAAGATAATTACAATAGGGAAAGAGTCCTCATTTCGACTCTTCTACAAATGGAAATGCTGGTTTTTTACGCAAACGAATTACGTTAATGGTGTACGATTTACACGATGCTTATATCTGTAAAAAATATTTTCCGATTTTGCGCAAAAGAAATGAAACAAGAATGTAAGATTTAGGATAATTGTATTTTATTTCACATGGTCGTGCTAATAATAAATTAAAATCGTCACGATTTCTTGTTACATCACCTTAAGTACATATGGTTTGGATCGTAAGCGTAGGAAAACATGTTTTTAAAAAGTGTTAAATAAATTACATTAGTAACAGCTACCTTTTCTTAAAAGCCAACTTCACGAATATTCACGAATTAAAATCCAGTCGAGTGTCCAGTTTAACGCGCTTGAAGACTTCAAACACCAATGAATGTTCAGTGATTTTATACATCTCTATATAAACAAATGAAACATTCTATCATGTGTTTCGTCATACACATTTGTAACCCAGAACGGAATTTCCGCACTTATTTCCATCAATATTGAGGATAATATTTATGGAACGGAATTCCATCAATATTAATGAATATAGTCTCCCGTGTTTTATGATTACAAACATTTGTGTGGACGAACCTTTGTTTTGTTTGGTGATTGTTTCAAACTTCGTGCCTAGAAACCATTACCACCTAACGTGCCTAGAAATATTACAAATATTAACAATATATATACCACCTAACGTGCCTAGATAAAAGATCTTTTTGGTTGAGTCTGTGTGTAATCACTATGTAGCAAAAAATGGTCACGTGATATAAAAGTATAACCATTACATCCGTATATATCCGTATCTTTAATATTGTCATGTTCTTGTTCTTGTTCTTGTTCTTGTTCATGTTCTTGTCCTTGTTCTTTGTCCTTTAATATTGTCATGTTCTTGTTCTTGTTCATGTTCTTGTCCTTGTTCTTTGTCCTTTAATATTGTCATGTTCTTGTTCTTGTTCTTTGTCCTTTAATATTGTCATGTTCTTGTTCTTGTCCTTAACTTAGAGCTAAACATGTTTCATACAAAATGTTTTATGGTTTTTGATTGGTTATATGAAATGCTCTTTAATAGGTATTACATATAATTGGACAACTGTTTTTCTATTGTGTCTGTTGACATAAAATTGTCAGTTTTAACAGAAATAGGCCTTCATAGAGATCAGAAATGTAAAAATCTTAAAATGATTTAAACTTATTCAGGAAAGAGGTCATTATTATATTTTATTATCCTAACTAACGTTTTTATTTGACTTGATGGGGTACTCTAGGAATCACGGCAAATCTTTGGCTCGTGGTCGATGGTAATTATCGGAATTAGCGGGAAAAACTACGTCAGAGGTCTGGTACCGACACAGAGACGCGATTCTAGTCATTTCTTTCTGGATAGTAAGCCGTCCATCGAAGCTCCTCAGTTCGTAGATATATAAAAATTGTCAAATACCAGCTGTTATCCTTCTGTAAGTAAACATTCTTAGTTAACGTTAGAATGGAGTTTTGTAAATTTTGATGAATTCAGACAACAATATTCGTCGTCTTTTCCATAATGAAAGCGAAAGCAATGAAAAATGTATTTGTAATTGCAACTATGTTCAACGCATTTGGGTATAATTGTGACAGTTTTCATCATACAAAGAAAATTGTACTGGGCTGTCGTCAATAGCTTCAAATATCGATTTTTTGAACGGTTTTATGCGCCGTATCCTGGTTTCAAAACGTAGACGACCTAACATCTATGTACTTATTAGGAACGTGAAAATAATTCAACCAGTTATAACCAGGAGGCGTCAATTTCCTGAACACTTAACACTTTAAACATCGAAACATGTTTTATAATATTTAAGTCACGCTTAAGTGAGAATCGTGTGATAAGTTTTGAAGTATGTATTGGCTCTTTTGCCTTGCTTGTAACAAATCTATTGCGCACAAAGGCATACAAAGTTCCCCTGAGTGAAAATAATTTGGTGTAAAATTATCGTGTTGAAACTTTCAAAGTCATTATTATGGATCAAAAATTACTTGTACCTTGTTTTTTAATACATTCTGAATTTTTTGAAAATAATTAATTCATTCTTTGGTATTTGGTTATAAATGATGTAGCCACAAAGCACAAGTGGTGCTTCATCACTTCCTCATAACTGTGGTGCATTGGAGCATGTTACATTTGATTTAAATTTTCCGTTTGATATTTCGAAGTTTTTGCAATAGTGGAAATGTTTATCGTAAGTCACGATCAAAGTTACTTATTCGTTGGATGAAAAACTATCTCAACAAAAATTTCAAATACATGAGGCAAAGTTACGCAAAATAACGTTTCCCACAACGGAAGGTTCATGTTTGTACTAAAATATGCACAACACTAAAGATATATACTTCTCTGCTAGATTCAATGTCGTGAAACCTTCGTATTGCGATTCCTACATAAGCTTTGAAGGAATTTTAATGCAAATAAATAAACGTTTACAACTGCAGCCATTGTGAACGTATCGACGTTTTCGCTTTAAATATTTGAAATGTTTCTAATTAATGTTATTCATTTTTTCTATGTTATTTTTGTAAGAGTATCTATGATAAAATAAAGATATGATCTTATAAACATAAGTTAGAAAACATCCTTTCATAAGTATGTATGATGTTCTTTAGAATGCCTCCTTGTTTGTCAAAGTCAATAATGAGAGACGTCTACTGCAATTATCCACAAAAGAATAATGCTGTACCACAATACAACCAATGAATGCCTCCGTGTTTGTCAAAATCAATAATGAGAGACGTCTACACCATTTATCCACAAAAGAATAATGTTGTACCACAATACAACCAATGAATGCCTCCGTGTTCATCAAAATCAATAATGAGAGACGTCTACTGCATATATCCACAAAAGAATAATGTTGTACCACAATACAACCAATGAATGCCTCCGTGTTTGTCAAAATCAATAATGAGAGACGTCTACACCATTTATCCACAAAAGAATAATGCTGTACCACAATACAACCAAACTATCATTGCTATGTTCCAAAAAAGACCTGAGCGAAGTCCTTTTGTTAGAACTGATATGTACGATATTGTGAGCTTGCTTTACATGTCGAATGAGTTGGTTGAAAAAGAGATCATGAAAAGTGAAGGAGAAAATGCACTCTCGGTTATTCTGTCTCATTTTGATGATCAATCAAGAACAGTTTTACTTAGAACCTACATTAAGCAACTTTTCAACTGTACAAAATTTACGAATAACGCCTTTCCTCTTTTTCCGTACAACAATGAAAACAACCTAAACGGTTGGTTTACGCAGAATTTTTCACGTTCTAATGATGCAGAGGGCAAAACTAATCAAAAATTAAAGATTTTTAATGCAAGCAACAAAGATGAAGCAATTAGAGGTATCATCGAGTTTGAAGGATTGAAGAAAGACGAAGACGAAAATACTGAGTTATATTTCCATGGCACTGATCATTCGTCTGCTCAGAATATTCTTGAGAATGGTATTCAATTAGGTAAAGGTGGTGAAAAGTGTGACTTGTCGCATAGAGATGGCTTCTACATGGCAAATGATTATGAATACTCGTTAATGCAATATTCTAATATAACAGAAGAAGCCCTTCTCATTTTTTGTTTACGCCCAAATAATTTGAAAGGTTTCCAAGAATTGTATTTATGTGGTAAGAGCAATCAACAAGACTTTGTTGCAGTTACTTCCATACTTTACGGTTGGAAGGATAGGCTGTAAAGGTTCCATGAGCAGGGAACTATTTTCGGAATTAGAGAAGTGCGATTATATCAAAAGTCCAATAACTAGTGATGGTCGTTCAGCAGATGACCAAAGGAAGATATTCTGCAGGTTTGTGTAAAGAACCCAAAATGGCTGAGACAATGAGCGGTTCTCCATCATTGGTGTGTGCAGTCTTTGTAAAGTCTGATTCTGAAGAGAACGATTCGTTGTTGGGTTTTGATTCATTTGTATATTGAAAACACCATTTTGAATCTGATGCTTAGCAATGGCCTGTTCATGTGTATTTAACTTCTTCAACTGGGAGGCAACAAGCATTCCAAATAAATCATTTTAATCTTTTTCCACATTTTTTTTGTTTTGATGCTTAATTGTTTTCTGCATTGTACGAAGAAACTGTATTTCTTCTTGCTCAACATCAACTTTTGTCTTTGACCACTTTTTATGTCCAGTTGTATCAGATATATCAGTTATCTTATCATCAAATACTTCATCTGGCTTTATTCGTTGACAGCCATTGTCTTCATTTAGTAAGCTGACATGCTCAATTTCATCATCTTTTAACAAAACTACAATTACTTGTCTAGCTGCTGCTGGTAGTTGATACTGACAAATTAGTTTTTGTTGCTCCAGACTTTATGTATGGTACTAACCACTGTAGAAAATTATAGTCCTTCAATTTTGTTTTAGAGGAAACAACAGCTGACAGAGATGTTCCAGATTTATTTAATTTTTTAACGTTATTTCTTCGCTTGCTGAATCTTTTTTTAAATTTTCAAACAATTTTTTCGCTCGCTCACCAATTATTAAAGTAAATGGTTTGAACCCGGGAGTATCGTTACATGTTTGTAAATGTAGATCGTCCAGGTTGGGGTATAGTCCTGAGAAGGACTGTTTTTGTTGTTGTTTACTGACGTTTCGACAACCTTAGCGGTAGTCATCTTCAGAGTCAAATGAAAATTGTTTTACGTTCCAATAGATTCAGATTTTCTGCCACTTTTGCCCAAGCATTTGCCACGCCAAACTTGTCTTTATAATCCTTATATGTTTTATCATACAAGCAGGGAATCTTACGCACTTTCTCGGCCAACTTTCTGGGTTAAGTGATTGAACACATGTTGAATCCGCCATTTTATACTACAAAATTTTCATTCAAGATGACGTCATTTTGGCGATTAACGCGAATAAATATCAAAAATTATATCGCGTTTATAGCAATTATTACCACGTGTTCCCATATGGGATTATCGCTTTTAAAGTTAATCGCTGTCGCGTTTTCGCGTTAAGCCTATAGTGGAACCAGGCTTTATAGATCATAGCTCTCGACCAATGAAATTGCTCAAATTCTTCTGGTTATTATATAATTATATATAGTCAATGGCGCGGTATATTTATTGTCTTTGTTATTGTGAATTGTGAAGTTGGGAGTTGAGAGAATTTGCTTTGAATTGTATTCAAAGCTTCAAATTTTCAACAATGACTTCACTAAAGCTTTGCTACAATGGATTAAAAAATGCAAAACAACATATGATATTATTTTTCATTTTATTCGGCGTACTTTGTGGATTTTTACTCGGTTCTTTATTACATGGCAATGTTCAGTCGTCCGTAGATCCAACACCGAAGGAATATGCAATGTACGTGTCTTTTCTTGGTGAGATTTGGGTGAGAGCATTAAGACTTTTGGTTCTTCCTTTGATTGTATCCAGCCTGCTTTTGGCAGTCGCTGAATTGGAGTCAAAACAGAGCGGAAAATTAGGAAGAAGAACATTGCTGTATTATCTTATGACTACAATGTTGGCTGCCATTTTGGGGAGTATTTTAGTTATTTGTATCAAACCTGGAAATGTCAACGTGAAAAAAACTGAACCGAACGAAAAAAATGTTCAACCGATACATTCTGTGCTTGACCTAATAAGGTTTGTGTCAAGTGTTGATAAATATGTTTGAATGTTTGTTTAATTGTCAACGTTGTTTTGTCTGCTAAGGAGATATTGTTTGTAAAATTAAAGTTTGGATTGCAATGCAAACCGCAATCATTATATTTGATTATGCTTTTGACAGTTTTGTCAAAACTTTCAACTTGTGAACTGTAACTCTGCAAGGCAGTTCAGAAAACCGCGTTTTTCGTTATCAGAAGAGATTTCAGCGTTAAAATTGGCCGTACTATGTCTTAAAACAGTTCAAAGTTTATTTAATATACACGACGAGTTATTTTAAAATAAATCGACATGTTTCGACATCTCATGATGCCATCTTCAGTATAAGTGAAATAATAAAAAATACAAGGTTTATATAAAATAAATGCTGGTATATGAATTCAGTTGCGCGGGATGTAATTCCCGATACATTGGCGAAACTTCGCGCCATTTATCCACCAGAACCTCAGGGAACATACCACAACAGACAAAAACTCTCATATCTACCGACACCTTCTTAAATCTCACTCATGTAAAACCAACTATTCACCCTCTTGCTTCAAAATCATCGACACTGACGACACCTCATTCACCCTTAAAATCAAAGAAGCACTCCACATTAACAAAACTAACCCTGACATCAATGTTCAAGTTTTTAAATTCAATACAATATTTAGTTTATAATACGCTCGGACGTTCCCCATTAATTTATCTTATTTCCTTATTATTGTTGTGATTTATGTATCATATTACTTTTATATAAACCTTGTATTATTTATTATTTCACTTATACTGAAGATGGCATCACGAGATGTCGAAACATGTCTATTTTAAAAAAACTTGTATATATATTAAATGCGCATTAGCAATAGTGCTTCTACAAAATTATGGAAACTTTAAAGTTGTTTAGTACTATAATGCTGAAATTTTTTGTTCATTTTAAACGATTGTGAGGTAATTTTCAAAATACATTGACAATTTTTATAACATTGACCGCAAGACGTAAAATTGGCCGTTTGATTGTAAATGACGATTTTAATCTTCCGTGCCGTAATATTTCGCATTTTAGGCTCTGGTCCACTGCTCACTGCGAAATTTAGCTGTGAAGTGTTAAGTAAAGAAAAGGTTGCTGAATGCTATGTAGCTGATCTTCAAAGTACGTAAAATGTCTTATGAGATATTTTTGCCTATAGAAAATTTTACTATGTTAAATTTTAGCGACGAAGTTCACTTTCCTTGTCTGTGAATATCAACCATATTTATAGCACACTAACTTGTAAGAACGTATTCTTCGGAGACAATGATTATCTCCTATAATATTCCCTGGGAAACACGTTTTATTGAGCTGGTGGCTCATGGCTTGTGTATTCTAATTTCTAAAGCAAAGTTCAATATTCACATAACACACATAACCACATTCACATAACACACATAACTACATTCACATTCACATTACACACACACATTGCATTCACATCATAACACACATTACCTTCCATCACACTCATTCACACATTCCTTCATTCCTCATTCACAAAACATTTCATTCAAATAACATTCATTCAGTATATTATGGACAATTTGCACAGGAATATGTCGTTCGCTTGGAACTCGTCGCGACATTTTTAGTGTGAACCAATTCATTCTGGTTTCGCTGAACTTTTCTTCAGACTGATTGTTTCAAGACATTTTGCGTCAGACGTACATTTTTGCATTTCATTGTTTACGCTCATTGTGGCATGTCGGTTGTTGCATTGCGCTTGTGTGTCAGGTAGTTGTGGCAGAATGAATGATTTAAGTTGTTAAAGTTGGTCAACTGTATTTACATTCGATTTTATACAAAGTAAGGAAAAGAGCGAAAACGGTGAAAAAATCCAGAGCTAACTTTAATCAAATAAGGACGAGAAGAAAATCTCTAGAGCTTGAAGAAAGTACATCAAGACGAAAACAATTCCCGTTCACAAAACGTTCCAGAGAGCGTTGCAGAGGATCAAGGGATGGAACCTGGAGCAGAAAGTCAGACTGAATATTTAATATTTTTACTCGTACTTTTATATTTGGAACTTCTTATTGAATTGTATGATTTAAATCTTCCTTCAATTCCTGATGAACTATAAATATCTATAATTTGTACAAGTTCGCCGTGAACATAATGATAATTGAAATATTAACTAATTAGAACAAATGTACTTTTCGTTGTCGTATATCGTTGTCGTCGAAGGAATTCATCAACTTATGTTGCGCTGTTATGCACTGATTCACATAAAAAATGTAATCCAAATTTGTCCAGATCCATAGGTCGGATAACTAATTACGTCACTGATACGTCATGACTATTTTTACGTCAGACATCGAATAATAATCGGCGAATACCGATAGTTTCCACCGGCTGTTTCCGAGAATCGGTAAAGTCAGTCATGTAAACTCTAACTGTAAACTTGTATAAAACAAATTCCGAAGAAGCAAGACATCTTGAGATTGCAAAATATGCATCAAAACAAGACGAGAAGTGAAGTGTAAATTTTCGACTTTATTTCAAAGTCATCCTCAGACAGAATGACAGAATTGTTCGTTTGTATGTAGAGTATTACCGTTTGAGGTTCTTGAAAATTTTGCATTGAAAAATGCAACTGATTAAACAATCTGCGTTATATCTTTGTACATATTTTGTGCCATCATCAACATAACGAATTGTTTGTATTTCTATTTCAAAATCGAGTGACGTTTAATATTATGACTTCATTAAGGTAAGTTCTGTTGTACTGTAATCATTGAGCATCGTTAGACTTTATAAAAAGATCTTTACTTCTTTTGAATTTTAAAACTGCTTTATATTTATGCCAAAAGTTTGCTGAGATTTTGTTTACGATTGTAACATGTGACAGCCAGGGTTATGTGTTTATTAGCATAATTATCAGTCAGCCAAGCTTTTTTGAAACCATTATGAATCAACATTAACATCATCTGACATCGTACATGAACTGTTCTTAACCAATAGAGCTATACCTCATATTCATCATGTCATTTTAACTTTTAAATATGTTTATGTCAAGATTTCAATTGTAGAATGATTATTATATATACAACTGAACATTGTGTACAACAAGACAACTGTCTTGTCAAGGAAATGAGTTGTCAAGGAAAAGGAACCTTAAAAACCAAGAATAGCACGAAGCTTTGTTTTACACCACTGTATATGACAGATCATTCTCATTGAAATGCATCAAATTGCAATATTGCTACATAAACACAATGAAGATGAACATTTTAAGGTTCACGAAAACAAGATTTAATTATTAATAGATGTTCCAAATGTGCACAGCAATGTACTTATATCTTACAATAGCTGTGCCAGGCCTAAATACCATACAATGATAAATAATCTTTTGAAAATTTCACTGTATGATTGTAAACTGTTTTCTTCTTTAAGATAAATCCCATTTAACCACCTACCTGTGTTGTCATGACAACCATAATGAATCGAGAAGAAGGTTTGAAAGCTTTGGAAACATCTATCAAAGCCATTGAAGAAGTCATTATGAACAAGAAAGGAACATTTGTTTTACAACAAGCTGTAAGTGTTTGGTTTATATTTATATGAAAAGTATATTGTATCACTAAAATGACATCCCCCTGGTACCTCTACTATCCTCATATTATCCTGTTACCATTTCCCTAAGTACCCCATGCTGTATTAAGATGGACATATTAAATCATTAGTCGTTTATTTGAAAATTACAATGACACCATCCCAATGCATTGAAATCAATATTAGGACCCTGTGACATTGGCAACAATTTATGTTAACTGTCCACAAAAATTAGTTTTTTTTTAAGCTAATATTGCATTGTGATAACCAGTGTGCGAATTAGTTGAGAGAAAACGATGTGCAATTTTTTTGACAAAAGTGTTTGTTTATAGGCATAATCAAATCGATATCCTGTTCATTATTATATATAGTGCTATTTGCTAAATTATTGTTTTTAAACATGAACAAATTCATATGATTTACGACAGTGTTTTTCTTTACAACCGCTGATCCAGTTACAAATGTATGAGAGAAATTTTTTGCGCATGTTATTCTCTTCTCTTTTTCGTGCAAACTTTACAGCGCAATAAGTTCACCACTTGGCCATCATCCTAGCACTCAAACTAGTCAGCATTTGATGTTTCCATCTATTTTTTTACTGCATTAACTTTGCTGGTAGCTACAACCTTTCGACGGAAATGGCAAGAAAGACAAAAGTGAAAACAGAAACACCAAATATACTTTTGCTTTCTGATTATTAACAGCAACATCCTTGATGTTTATTTACAGAAAAAACATCATATTTATGTCATATTACAAACAATATGTAAAAGCAAAAAGTATGGCTAATCAAGGTTGCCAGTTTGGCTTAATGTTTTAAGTTTGGCTTCTTTTTCTCTTGTTAGGCTTATTTAAAATCAATGATATCACCAGTGTGCGAATTAACGGTGTGCAATGTGCAATTTGCACATCGTTTTAGCTAGAATGAAAACAATTGCACATCACTTTTTCAAACGATATGCAAAAAACATCTTTACTGATTACTACCACATAAATTGAAGAAAGTTTACAAGCTTAATCTTTACTGATCTTTACTTTATAAACGAGTGCGCTGCACAACATTAAAATCCATTTTTACACAATGTCATCAAGTTCAAAGACGTTGTCACTTTGAGATTAGTAAGTCTGTCAACAGTCAACATACATGGTGCTTATATGTTTATGACAATAGGGGTGTCATACATTATTAATGTCAATTTTTGCATTCGCGTTGTTTTGTAAACCGTTACGTACTGTTTTTGGCATCATAGCTATTTTAAGTATATTCAGTGAAATCAGGAAACATTTTGATTTTGATTCTTAAAAGAAGACAAAAAAACAACTTAAACAAGCAAAATTTGAAAAATAAACCAAAAGGAATTTTGATTTTAAATAAGCCTAACGTGAGAAAAACATTAATGGCTTAAAACATTAAGCCAAACTGGCAACATTGATCAGCCATACTTTTTGCTTTTACATATTGTTTGTAATATGACATAAATATCAGGGGCGGATCTAGAGTATGTCAAATCCGTCGCGCGACTGATGTTTGAAATTCAAAAATTACCTATTCATATTAATTAAAAACATTAATTATTCTTACTTTTATTATCGCATTTACTTCGTGATAAAAATCCAGCTTTATTTATTATTGAAAACTAATGACTAATCCAATGAATATCTCCTTGGTAACCAGATCAGTTGAATTTTAATTGACCTGGAATAACCGACTGATAAGCGGGGTGGCTTGACTGGTTCGACGGATAAAGGAGTCTATGAACGCCAAAAACGCTTATTTCATTGGTCAATAGCCAGATCAGTGGACGATCTGGAATAATCTCGACCGATAAGTGGGGTGGCCGGACCTATAAGGGAGTCCACTTGCTATCGTGTAATTGGTTCGTTTAAATTTTTGTCTTACTGTGATTGGTTTGACCTATTTGGACTGATTGCCAACTGAACTAACATAGTCAAGCTCACTGTCTGAATTGAATGTTTGATCGTTTCAAAATAATTTTCTAAAGCTATTGCTTGTGTGTTTGTGATATTGACATGAATGCTGCTTTCCAAACTGGGAATTTTTTCAAGAGGGTGAAAAATTTATGGATGAATTGTAAATGCTTGGCAAAGACGATCTCGCGAGCGACATTTCAGTCATTGATGTTCAAAAGAAAGCCAACATTGTTTTGAGTTTTATCAGCAGAAATTTACATCCAAAATCGTAAGTAAAGGACAAGTGAAGTGTATTCATGAATGCAATATATCAAAGTCAATTTATGCGAGTGTGTGATGCGATTTATGTTAATATGGTAAGCAGATTGATGCTTCTAAAATTGTTGTTCCCGAAGGACTTTTAGCTATGATTTCTTTAATGCTTGGGGAATCGTGGCCGTTATATGGCAGCGAAATCCTACATTCCTGCAAATATATTTCAATGGACAAAAAATATGTAGATATAAGGCGCCATACTATTATTTACTTTATCATAAACAAATCTTTGGGGCTTTTCAGTTTATGATCATTGATCATTCAATCATTGGACAGTTATACTACGTATTGTTTAAGATTTGAGAAAACTAACATTAATTACATGAGAAGCTGTTTAATATAACCTGTGATTTTGAGTCTTCTGATCCATGAAGCTTTTTATTTTGACAATTTGACTGGAATGGTATTAAACCTGAGTATTTCACATACATGAAATGTTGTCCCATGTCACATATTGTCCCCTTTTATAACTGAACACCTCATGTAGAGATGTAAAGGTGTGTTAATCTACGGCTCATACCAGATTGTTTGCCATAAATTCCAAAGGGCTATTGATGTATGAAAGGAGAATGCTTAGGATGATGTGTGGTGTAACGTTGATGGATAGGATTCGAAGTGAAGAGATTAGAGAAAGAGTTGGTGTTGAGTGTATCGAGAATTGGTTAAGGCGCCAGCGTTTGAGGTGGTTTGGGCATGTGGAAAGGAGGGAAGAAAGTGCTGAAATTCGTAGAACGTTGCATATGAATGTTGATGGAGTACGCAAACGAGGTAGACCGAGAAAGAGATGGATGGATGCTGTGAACAGTGATATGAAGGCGATGGGTATAACGAGAGATATGGCGAGAGATAGAGACGTGTGGCGTGGAAAAATTCATGGACCGGTCAACCCCCCTGGCGGGGATTAATACTGGCCGGTATATAAATGATGTTTGTTTGTTTGTTTGTATTGATGTATGAAAAGCATTTTCTATAAACAAAAATGTCTTCCTATGTATGCAGATAAACCTTGAAATTTGGCAAAACAGCAAAGTATTTTTCATTATCACTAGGTAATTTTTCTGATAATCATTATAATTTCTAAACTAAATTATTTCAGATTTACATTTAAACAAGCTTTGATTATATGAAAAGATATTTATCATGACCAGTAAGCATGACACATGAACCAATTTTAACATTCATGTAATTATATAATTAAAGACATGTTGGTTACATTCTGTTTGTATTTGATAATACAATGCTACTAGTGATTGCTATATAGCACACTTTGCAGAAGATAATAGTCTAGTGAAATGCCTAATAAACATTTATGGTATTAAGCTAACCTTAACTGCAAATTTTCACTTTGATAAT